AAAAAACACCGCCATTATGAAGGCTTTTGAAACGTTCACTCTCACCTGCTTCATGTTATTAGTAAGTTAAAATTCAAAAATCTATGCTAACTAACATTATAAAAAAAAATAGCTTTATTACTTTAAAATCTTAACAATACAGTTGCCGGGGCTTCTCTCGAAAGTAATCCAAAGATACCTGTGTTGAGAAGCCCCGCTCTTCCATATAATCAAACAGGTTTTTAAAGCTATTTGTGTGCATGCGTGCGTGTGTACGCGTGTGTGAGTGCGTGTGCGCGCGCGTGAATGTGTGTGTATGTGTGTGTGTGTGTGTGTGCGCGCGAGTGTGTGCCTGTGCGTGTGCGTGTGAGCGTGTCTGTATATATTCACTGAAGTATTTATCCATAAATACATACAAAAGTCCACATCAACCTTAATTTAACAATTATATGGGTATCTTGGTACTTTAGATTTAATACAAACTACACCGATATATATATTTAATTTATCTAATACATAAATATATACATATACATACACATACAATACATACATTGACATATACAAATGCCCATAAATACACACATGTTTTTTATTATACAGACAAAAGAATTGATGCAACTACATTAAATAAGCTCTGAAATTACTGGATTAAATTATAAATGTGCCATATGGAGTTTGAAACGAAATATATTCTAATGCAATTGCTACAAGTGCTAATACGCCATTTTGAAGGTGTTGATTTCAAGTTCGATTCTCAACCAGAACTGATTAACTTTTCTATATCATCTGAAATCTAAGTGGTACGTTATAGCAGACACAGTTATAATATTGGTTAGTCCATCTACTATCATTAAAGTATTTTCCCCGGGAACAATATTAATTCAAGTATCTACTATTCAAACATGTTTAGTGTGAAATATAGAGGAATACATGGACGGACATGTTGGAATATATTGACCCTGGAGGACATACATCAAAAGGCCTGCTTTGTTAATCTGGAAACGAAAATTCTTCTATTTTGGAAACGCTAATAGGACTCTAAAGAAAGCCTTTGAAGGACGGACAATAGATGGGCTAACCGGATTTTATAATATTTTTTTTCAAATCCCGATGACCTTTTGCTATTTATTTGGTGTTGAGTAAAGTCTAATGATTGTTTAATATTTTGTTCTCTCACAAAGGACGTATTTTTTATTTTTACTCGACTACGTCGAAGCGAAAAGGAGGGTTATGATTTTGGCCGGTATGTAAGAATGTTCATCTGTTCCCTTATAACTTCGAAACTACTCATCATAACTGGATAAATGAGGTATCATTAGAAGCGTCTTAGTTGTACACGTGCTATAGGCTATTTAGCTCAGTGGCGTAGAAGATAAGCGCCGCGGCTCGCGATCGTTGTTGTTAAGTAACTTTCGCAAGGGTCGGTCACGGGATGGGTGACCAAAAAATTATTATCTCCAGTTACTTCGTGCTTTGGAAAGCACTTTAAGCCGTTGGTTCCGGCTGCATTTGCAGTCGTTAATACCCTCCAATCCGCATTGAGCCAGCGTAGAGGGTCACGGCCCATCCTCTTTCACCATCCATAAGGAAGGCCTGAGCCCCTGCAGTGAGGACGTAAAAGGGCTGGTGATGATGATGATGGTGATAGGCAATTTAACGTTACATTAAATTAGCAACAGCGTTAAGGGTTAATAGGTCTAGAGACCATAAAGTAAGAAACTAAAAAATATATATTATTCTGTTATTCCGTGTAGGGTATTAGATGAAAGGGCTTACATACACCCGAAAATTTATTGAATAAAAAAATAACTTTAGAAACAAGAAATTAATTATATAGCTACATTATAAAGCGAGGACAACGGCCAGCGTAGTCGTCTGCCACAACATCTTGTTTTGTTATGATCAATAGCATACGACTTCGCTCTCCTTTGTATATATAGCTATAATATTATAGCGATAATTATTATAGCTGTCGCTATAAAATAAATTTATTGTTTGTAACTTTTGAGAGCGTGATTTAGCTGTAGTCGGGTATTTAGTTTTTGAACTAATTTTTAAATATTGGTAAATGGCATTCATTACTATTGTATGTGACTTTATTTATTTATATTTGATATAAATAGTATCGATTTTATTAGTACTAAGAGTTAAATATCATTTTAAATAACCAGGAAATAACGTTTCAGGTTCAATTAATGAACGTGACAAGTCAAGGTGAGGAATTTGTGTTTTGAAATGTTTTTTATTGTTTTTCCAATATTAAATCTAAAAGTAATTAATAACTTGACATTTAAAACCAACAGGTGATTTCGAATATGGAGGTAGCTTTCAGCAATCAGTATCATTTACCCACTCATCACATGAAGAACAAGAATTTAAAGGAAAACAACTGGTAAAAAGTTCAGACCAACATTTCTCATCGCTCAGTGGGCAACACTCAACGAATCAACCAGAGTCGTCACTCGATAAGTCATTTTCAGTGCAACTAAATGATTATTCATCGTCGACAGACCCAGATGGTAGCTCTCAAGCGTCACTTATTATGACACAAAAAAACAGTGCGATCACACCTGATTACAATAATGAAGACGGTACAGCGATAATTGCTTCATCTGATCATGAAAATGGCGCCCAAGCAATTATAGGTCACTACCAATCTAATCATCCATCATCACCAGGAGAAGCAACCAACAATAACAACCTTCCAAATCTACCTGAATCAGAGTGGTTCAATAGTAAACCCGATGCATCTAATTACGGACAAATTGTTTATGTAAATCAACCACCTAACTCGATCTCAAAGCAACCAAGTATTACTATTGCAACAGTCCCATTAGCTGCTGGTCCTTCTAGTAAAACCCAAACAACAGTAGTAAATTCGTCACAAAGACTTGATAATAATGATAATGGACCTGATTCTGAACAACCTACTGCAACTAAAATAGTATACAATCGTTCAATACCGCCTGTTCCATCTCCTCCCTTACCTCAACAGGGTTCCACTTTACCTTATACATTTCCTAGTTCCTTGTCTGATCCTTTGCCTAGTCCTTTAACTGAACCTTTGCCTGGACTCTTGGCCGGACCCATATACGAATCCTTACCTGCTCCCTTACCTGAACTCTTACCTGAACCCTTACCTGAACCCTTACCTGCACCCTTACCTGCACATTTGCCTGGACCTTCGCCTGCACCCTTGCCTGCACAATTAGCTGAACCCTCGCCAGTACCATCACCTGCACCAATGCCTGGGTCAATTGATTATCCAATACCCCATCCACTGCCTGTCACACCTCGTCCTCTACCCCATCCACTGCCTATCACACCTCGTCCTTTACCTTATCAACTGCGCCATCCATTACCATATCCTCTACCTCCTCTTCTGCCTAAGTCGTTGCCTTGTTCCAATCGACATATCCCCTGTAAAAAACAACCATCACTACCTAATCGACCGACTGCACCTGCACAACCGATCAAGCCTAATCAACCAAACGGTCCCAAACCATACCAGTTTGGTAGATTACCAGACCCTAATAAATACGAAATTTACTACACTGACATGGAAAACGGTGAACCAAAAGAAAGTAAATGCAAGTATTACGATATCATCAAAAATGACGAAGGTAATTTTTATTTTCTTATGTACATTTCTTTGGCTTAGCTAAAGTACCTAGAGTAGTCTCGGTCTTCTTATTATATTCTTCTGTGGCGGGGTTGCTCGTACATGCCCGTACACCAGTTTCAGGAGATCGGGTCAACATAGAAAATGAGCTCTTCTATATTGTTTTAAGTCTGGATGTTTTCGTTCTTTCAGATGTCCTTTAATACAAATGCTTTAGCTACTAAAATTGATTTCTGAGCAAATTATTGTGATATTGTCTAGTATAATGTTTATTTATTTAATATAGTAAGTTTAGAATTTTCACCAGAAATCCATTTCTTTTTTTCAGTTATGTCGGCAGTGCGTGGTGGGTTTAATATGAAGATACTTAGTATATTGTATGGATGTGATACTGCCCCTGTCATATGTTGATACTGTCACCGCGCTTATAATTCATCACCTTAGCAGAATCTCGAAAAACTTTGTAAAATATAAGATATTAATAAAACATTATCTAGTTTTGATTACATAACATAACATAATGGTCCCTTCTATTTGTATTATTGACGTCTGGAATGTAAATAATTCAGATCTGGATTTGCATTTATCATGTCATTTGCACTGCAAAAATTTGATATACATGTAAGTACGTACCATCCACTTCCACAAACGTCCATTAAATTTTCATAAGTTCAAAGCGACATTACGAATACAAATTGTCAAACGAACATTCATTATAAGTTAGTCATCATTAAACCTTAAATGGACGTTTGTGTAGCTGGCGGTAAGTTGCACGAACATCCATTAGGGTTTAATGACGTATTTAGGTTCTAATGATAATGATAAATTCTATTAAAATAATGTTGCTGAATCAAATTTCTGGATGGTTCCGACAATAAACAAATGATGTCTAAAGCCCGAAGGAAAAGCAAAATATTTCGACAAGAGAGTTTTTAGATAATTAAGAAAATATTTTTCGGCTAGCAATAAACTTAATTTTTGTGCCGAATTCATAAATGCGAAAGTGTGAGGATAGATGTCTGTACGGATGTATGTTAGTTACTCCTTCACGCAAAAACCACTGAACAGATTTTGATGAAATTTGGTATATGGATAATTCTAAGCCTTTAGAGGTTAATCATATAGGCTACATTTTATCCCAATTTCAAGTTCATGAAAGGGACTCTTAAAATAAAAAATAATCATCAAACGTACGTGCATACTCGTAACTTCCGAACCGCACCAAATTTAATGTTTTTCTTTATGCGTTAGAACAAGGTTGTCTATAAGATATAAAAAAACATACGAAGTTCGCTGGGTCAGTTAGAATAAATAAAAATGAGAACGCATTTCTTTTAATTAATTATTATTTATTTAAAATCATAAACTTTCTTATTAATACTCCGTAAAAAAAGTATTAAGATGCCAGAGTACAGAGCAAGGCAGTGCCTCTTTTGACCCAGAAATCAGAGCTCTCCTTGCCCGATGGTAGATCCACTGCCACCACAAACGCTCCCTTACGTAATGGATAGTAATAACAAGGACAGACGTATCGGTCTGCAATGTAAAAAAACCGGTGGAATTATCAAAAACTTTCTTCAAACGTTTGTCTTTCACAGCACTGACAAAGATTTCTAAGCTATCAATGAAAGTCAAAGTCAAAATAATCTTTATTCAAGTAGACTTCTTAAAAGTACTTTTGAATCGTCCAACATTTTTTCCCGCAAAAAGTAATCAACGGAATTTGATGAAATTTTGTATACGGCTGATTTTCAAGCTAAATTCATATGTAGGCTACTTATTATCCCACATTACGGAGATCCGTAGAGATATATTATATATACTGTAAAATCATCGTGTAAATCTCTCGCGCTGTTGGCGAAAGCTAGTTCTTAATAATTATAATTAAAATGGATTATTGAGGTTTACATAAACTTCCAAATAAGTTGCATAGTAGACTAGAAAAGTTCTTTTTTTAATTTGATGACAATTTTCTAAGCTAATGAAGCTAAAAGGTGAAACAATTTGATGATCTTAGCCACATTTTCCTAGATGAGCTAAATAAAACTTACTTCGTAGTCTTCTCCCGGTGGCCCGTATCGGCTTAAAGTGTATCGGCGACATTGGAAATACCAGTTGCATGGGAAGAGGTTCTTGTAAGTAACCCTCCTTCTTGAACCAACTCGCTCCTTCTAAGTACTGGCCCCTATTGAGTTTTTTGTTTTTTAAATTGATGGAAGTATTCTTAATTAAATATGCTTAAAAATCCACTATGCCCCTGGTACTCTGAAACGTGAAACCCATGACTATCCGCAATCCGGGTGACTGCTCTAACCACTGATCTAACAAGACTGACGAATTTCTCAAGCACTTGTTACTTTTTTGCTACTACAGGGCGTACGTACACCCAAACCAGGCCAGGCCACCTAAAACGGCCAGGGACAGAGTCAATATTTTAAAGCATATGTATAGCATATAGCATTCAAAAAATATTTTCATTACCTACGTCGACAAAAATATAATTTCATTTAAAAAGCTACTCATCATCATCAGCCCTTTTACGTCCCCACTGCAGGGGCTCAGGCCTTCCTTATGGATGATTAAGGAGGATGGACCACGACCCTCCACGCTGGCCCAATGCGGATTGGACTGCAAATGCAGCCGGCACCAACGTCTTAACGTGCCTTCCGAAGCACGAAGTAGCTCGAGATAATAATTTTTTGGTCACCCATCCCATGACCGACCTTTGCGAAAGTTGCTTAACAACAACGATCGCGGGCCGCGGCGCTTATCCTCTACGCCACCGAGCTACTAAAAAGTTATTGTTGTAAATATAATATTTATATATCCAAATGTTTCATTTTTACTTTATATGTTGTAGTATTTAAAGTTGCTGTTGAGGCTTATTATAGAATTTGAGTGATACAGGGATCATCCATAAATTATGTCACACTTTAGGGGGGGGGGGAACTGTGAAATTAGAACAATATTTAGTAGAATTTGTATAGATAAATAGGTGACATGAGGGGGGGGGGGGGGGGTTAAAAACCTTGATTTTTGTGTGACGTAATTTATGGACGGCCCCATACACTACACGAGGATATTTGTTACTCGTTTTGAAATTTATAATTTATAAAAGTATGCTGTGAGCATATAAAAAAAAGATGTTTTTTAATTTGGTCACAATAGATATTATGGCTTAGATTCTCTTACCTTATATAGACACCACCATCTCTAGGCGGGCGTACGAAGGAAGATTCCTCTAGAGGCATCACAGTAAACTCCCAACAAAGGCTATCGATGGGCCAGCCTTCACCGCGGGCTGTCGTCTATTGTGAAATGAAATCAGATGTAATTATATATCCATGTAGTGAGTTTTCAAGTAACATGAATGTTGAAGACATATAAATGCTGAAGAAGGCGTACAATAACCTTAATACTCTAATGTATTTCAAAGTTCTAAACTCCTAGAGAAAAGTTGTAATAAATAAATGTGCACTAACTGGTAAAATAGATGGTGTTCATTCTCCTGTATCTAGAATTCGGAACTGAATCGATCATTCGGGAGTCCTGTCTCTACTCACAAATTCGGAACATGTTTAATGGTAATTGGTTGTGATGAATGAACAATTATGGAAAATGATTAAATATTTTCTAATGATAAAGCGTCGAAAAGCTGAACAACAATAAATCGGTAAGGGGCACTAACAGTGTTGTATGTTTTTAAAAGGAAAATGAATCAGAAACTAAAGAAGATGAGCCAATTGAGAATAAAATTGGAAAAAAATAGTTTTTTATTTTCAATATCAATATTATACTATAACAATGTATGTAAGTCCTAATAACTAATAAAAGTATGTGATTGTTTTAATAATATGAGTACAGTATGAAATGTTTTCTCTGTTTTCTAGTTTCTTAAGGTTGGCAACACTGGCCATTAAGAAGATTTTTATTTTCTTAGGCGCTGTGCAAAATATGTATGTCGAACGAGCAGTATTTATCTTCCAGGCATTTATATTTAGTGTTAGTATGGGAGTGACACATCCCTATTCCGTCGAAAGCACGTCGATAGGTAGAGGGCCTGAGCCGGAGTGCTGGACTGCCAGCTAGGGTTGCCAGATGGGGACAGTAAAACATTTGGGCAAAAATTTTTTGAATTCGGGATCACTCGGAATAAAAATGGAATTGATTAACAAACAAAGACAATTGAATTATTTTTCGGTTATTTCAGCCGTTACCGAGCTTTTTTCAAATTTAATTTATTTAACAGGACATTTCCATCTATTCCAGGTCTCTGGATATCCTCCGAAGAGTGGAGATCCGGAGACCTGAAATAGACCTGAAATTCGCTACCGGACTCGCTGTTTCCGGGCAAAAACAATCTGGGACTCTTCAAGTCAAGAGTGAATCGGTTCCTTCTAGGCAAGCACGCTCCATCTTAGACCACTGCATTGCTTACCATCAGGTGATCTGTGGTCAAGTGCTTGCCTATCTAGAATAAAAAAAGAATCCAGCCAAGTCCCGTCCACCCGGCAACCCTACTGCCGGCAGGGCACAGACACACGCGACTGGAGTGACCTGCATGACGGCGGTGAGGAAGCCGGTGGGCGCGACGAGCGCGGGCAGCCAGCACAGCGTGGGCGGCGCGCGCGGCGCGTTGGCCCACGCCGCCACGTGCGCGCCGCGCAGGTACAGCTCGCGGCACCACGACCCCAGCGGCTTCATCGACGGGCGTGCTGGCGGTACACACATCCACACATGCCATTGCCATCGCTCTACTGAGACACTGAGGCTGGCCGTGACAATGACATACATAGGGCGGAGGATAAGGAAATTTTTTCTTTTACTTTATTGGATCAACAAACAGTTTCACAAATTACTTGAAACAGCAACAAATTAATTACATCTTGTGATTGTGAAACCAACACCGTTGACCACAAGTAACTAAGTACATTTCACATTGTAGTTGAGAGCAACAATAAAATCAAAAATTATTTAGTTTGTGGAATGAGTTTCCAAACTTTATACGAGTGTGACGCGGTGTTAATTTCTGGCTACCAATTCCTCAATGATACATTTCTTATAAGATTGTGTATTATGATTGAATATATCTATATTTACAAAATATCTATTATACGTGTCGGCAAGACGATACAAGGGCGAGCGTTTACCAGAGTTGTTGCGGTATTTTTTAGTAGAAAATAATTTAAATTTGCGACAATGCGGAATGAAGAAGCTTACAAATAAAACACATGAAATTTGTTTATCACAGTCGGCACATATAGTTTACAAAACGCTCGCTCTTATTGCATTGAACACTGTAATAGCTAAAGGGTACAGGTCCATGAACTTTTTTTCAACAATCTGAAGTAATCCATGGGAATGATGACCACTTGTAAACTTTCGCGTTGCATAATATTAGATTCTATAAATCGGGTATTAATGCAATAGATTTCGATAATTAGGTTTTTCACCTTGACCATGGCTGGTGTAACCTGGTCGAAACGTCGGGAAATATAGGTAGATGAAAACCTAACTATCGAAATCTATCGCGTTAATACCCGTCTTATACAATCTAATGATAACCACTGTCTCCTCAAACGGTGTCGCATACAATCACAGCATCTGAGAAGCAGGATGTACATACGATGAGCGTACGTATAATACGTATGTTTTTTATAAAAGAGAAAATGGTCAGAATGTCATATCTGATTGTTACTGTTCTTGTTCAAGGGAAGCGAACACAGTTTTGCAACAAAATGCCCATATCGTGAGCGTTTTGTATTACTCGGAACGAGCAAATGGAATTGATGTCTGTCCAGAAGAGTTAATTTATGGATGATGTAGTTGTAGACATTGTTAATCTATAAAATATTAAAATAAACTATAGTATTGTTTCGTTTTGCTTTACCTTTCATTATTTGAATGTTAATCTTGTGAATATAGAACGACTACGTTGTGTTTGTAATAATATACACTTCAAAGTGCAAGTTCTCTAATTATTAATGCTCCTTTTATGACAAAACTCGAATAGCAATATCACTTTAGCCATGCTATGCAAAATTTACTTACGCATATATTTGCTCAAAATATAATCCTATATATTTTAAATGTAGTCCTTTCTTTGCATAGTTTTTTTTTAAATACTTATTAAACGCTAACAGAGACTAGATTACTTTTGTTTAGTAAATAACAAATTAACGTTTAATGTTCTTTACACTTACCCTTTTGCCAAAATTCGGGTACCCGTCCTTCAAATATGCACGAATACATGATTTCCAACATATCCGACATTACGACTAGGCCTTCTATAGCACGGCGCAATTCCTGCACGACAACGAACCAATTGCATTATATGATGTACCTCTACATATTTATATGTTTTGTGCCTCTACTGTCTCTGTCTATATCCAAAACAATATTCCATCTCGTCTAAAACCCATCGATTCTAATTTCAAGTGCTCAAAAGTAACTTAGACTATTTTAAAGTACAATATTATGTTCTTACTCTAATCAGTCAACGTATTCTGGTAGGGTTTTGAACACTTAGATTTTCAAATATAGTTTACTTATTAGGTGCTTATATCCATGGTGGATATATTAGGTGCTTATATGTAACATTATTCATCTCATCTTAGATGTTGGACCAAAGAAAGTCGATAATTATAACGTACGTTGAGAACGATAGTGACACAATGCAAAAAATGTGATTTCGAGTAATGAGCGTTTAAAGTTCAAGAAATTGTAATCGGCTCCTCTAAACAACGTATCGTCACTACGCCACCTAGCAGTTTCTATGCAAGCTACGTTCACAGGGATCTTTGCGTTTTAAAGTTTATACTTAACAAAGAAAAATGTTGCCAAAAGTAAAAAATACGTCGTTTTTGGTTAGTGACATTGTCATTCTCAACGTGCGATAAGATAATCAGATCCAAATCTACTATGTATGGTTCATATCTCATCAGATAAACAATAAATCATACACACATTTTCACTTCTTACTTGTATATCTCCACTCCACTAGTGTGTGCACAAGGCACAGTCTTTACATACGTCTAACGCTTCCTTCACGTTCATTACTCTATTTATACATGTCGATTTTTACGACTTTTCACATCATCCTCTGTAATATGCACTCAACCTGGTCGTGGGAGGTGAGTCTTGTCCTCTGCGACTCAGTTTCTACAAACTGTCGTCTGGCAATTTTTCCAACATACATGGATTACATTTAAATTACCTTCAAACCTGCGGTGATAGTAGATATGAGTACGTTGTAGTATCCAATCTCCTGCAGGAGCGACACACACATCGGCATTACTATCTCGGGGCCCATCATCTTTTCTGTTGTCTCCACATCAATCTTATTTGGCAATTTTGTTAACATTTCTTGTGCTAGCTCGTCAACCTGATTATTAATCAGATTTTTGTAAATTTATCATCATTTACTATTTTATCCCCATTTGCCCCATTGAAATGTGATTGCAGCACGTTGAAACGATATAGAGCATTTTGACCCTTTTTAGTGCAGTCAAGAGACGCTAAATCTGGAGTACTGGTTCAGACTATGATTACCAAATGTTTTAATCCTAATTGTTAGGAATTTCCTGTAATAAAATCCGTGCTTTGGAATGCACGTTAAGCGGTTGGTCCCGTCGTTAATACCCTACAATCCGCATTGGACCAATGTGGAGGGTCAAGGTCCATCCTCCTTAACCATCCATAATGAAGGCCTGAGCCCCTGCAGTGGGGACGTAAAAAGACTGATGAAGGATGATGAATTTTAATTTGAACTATTGACCGGAATCTCTTTTATTAGCAAATAATATATTTTGGCATAATTATTTAAACAAAAAAATATAATCAATTCTAAATTACTCTACTTGTATGGAAACATATAGTTCTAAACATCAACAAGTCATAGAAATCAACAATATCTTGACACTTGGCGTCCGCACCACGTTACCGAATACGCATTGATGAATACATATCCTAATCTCACCTTCTGGTCTTCACCACCGCCAGCACCTCCACCTCCGGTAGACGCCAGGGCGAACAGCGTGCTGCACATTATCAATGCGTCCTGGCGACAAATCAAGTATTTGGTATTCATGCGAGGATTTTATAAAATCCATCATTTACCCAGAAACAAAAACATTTACCTTATCTTAATGCTTAGAATGTATATGAATTCTTATCATCGAGGGGACTGTGATGAATTTTTTTTTTGCGATTTTGAATACAATAGATATTAACTGGACTTTACACAATATATCCACACACTTATTAAAGTTTAGTTTAAGATATATATTTTGTTCGTTATTTTCTGTCTTCTTTTTTATTGTTGTAATTTTATGCTATGAATGTCAGTTAAAATATTCTTATTTTTATTACTAACCGATGCAATTCTGTATCTCGCTAAGTTTACAGTGTTGGACTACGGATCCGGGATCTAGCAAGGAGCCCACCGGATCCGACCCCATTTATTATTCAAACCTGCGCTAGGGTTGCGACATCAGCAGATGCGTGCTGTCCTATAGACTCTGCTCGCTCAGATGGTGGCAAAAGATCGAGGAAATCACGGTACGACTCCAGGCTGCCATCACGCGGGATGTGGTAAGAAGGGATTGAAGACAATCTGTGGCAGAAAACAATATATTCTTCTTGGAAGTAGGTGCATTTATGATATAGTTTATAAATTCAGAATAATATTCTTCATAGTTGTTTATTTTCATGATGACCAAATATTCAAAATTATTTTTTTTTAATTTATTTTATTAATTTATTTATTGCATTCCACAATGTAGTATTTGGACGTTTACAAAAAAAAACAAGAGTATCATTATGGACCCCGTCAGGCACAGCAATTTGGAGAGGGGAGGACACTGCGTTGAAATATTGGTAATAAGTATTTCCTTTCTTTTATAAACTAAGTAATATATGTTTTGAAAACTTACCCATTTAGTAGATAATAAAATTAAAATACAAAAGTAGAATATTCAATTTTAATTTGAATGTATTTCAAGTTTCTCATTTAGGTATTCTTGTATTGTTTACTTAATACAAAAAGACTTCTTCATGGTAAAAAATATGCATATAAAATTTATCGTTACTCGATATAAATACCCCCCGAAGAACAGAAATCACAAGCTAACCTATAGAAAGGCGTATCCAAAGCTTCTTCGCAGAAGAACTGGTTTATGTAAGCAACAAGGACGCGTTTATCCCAATCATCGGTAATATGGCCGCCATAGTTGATGATAGCAAATAGATATCGCAAGGCATCCCACGGTACCTCCTCGTACTCATCCAAGTAATTTGCTAGTAGGTTGTCTGATACCTAGTACAGGTAGAGAGATAAAAAATTAGTACTATGTAACATATTTTTAGTTTATTTATTTAATTGCATTCCATAATGTAGTATTAAGGTGTTACAAAAATAAAGGTATTAATATGGACCCCGTCAGGCCCAGCAAATTAGGAGAGAGGGTAGGACACTAAGATAATTACTTAGTCTGAATACTACATACATTACCTGAAATTTCATGGACAGTCTCGTTAGTACAAGATATTACGTCATATTATGTTAAGCAGTAAATTGAATTTCAGATTTACGTAAGTGCCTTTTATGGTTTTTTTGATGGGGCAAAAATTTAGCGAATAAGTAAGAAACAAATCCTTATCCATAATTTTTAATTATAACTTTCACCACATTTAAAATAAACCATTACCTGTTTCAATTTACAGTACTTAGTAATACCGTGAATAGGAAAATCTTAATAATTTTATCTATTTTAGCTTCAGAGATACATTTTATAGGTGGTTAGATTACACTCACATCAAAGTCAGCATCATTGAAGCTGTATACAGCGTTGTAGCCCAGCTGACGGAACCGTTTCCTGGCTATGAGTGTGCAGTGGAAGAAGGCGACGCAATACAATAGCCGTCTGTACTTGGGTGTCGCTTCATCGAACTTGTCTTCATTCAGATTCGCGAATATCCTCACCATGTTGCCTTTTAAACCCTGATAGAAGACGACCAATCAATTTGTACTAGTGGCTTTCGTACTCTGTCTTCACTTCGTTACAAAAACACTACTATATACATATTACAGAAGTAGCACTTAAAACAAAATAATAGTGTATTGTTTTTGTAGATTATAGAGTACGGTTCTTGACGACAATTTTCCAGCCTGTTTAGGAATTTTTGTCACTCATCATTTACTACTGTTGCTGCATGCTGTGTGTTTGTATGTATTTTTAAATATATCTTTAATTCGTTAGAGTCGCTGTCGATAACAATGGTTTCGAAATTGATTATAAAGAATAGTAACGTAGTATTTGCATCCAGTTCAAAATTGAAAGCAAGCTTTTATTTTTTTATATTCTGTGAAGCACTTTGATGCATGTAAAACTAAGCTCCACCAGGTGTTCTTAGTACTATATACCCTTCGTACTTCAACATACTAAAGTATCAACTATTAAGAAACTCTTGCACATTTATGTCACTAGTTCTTGTGCTAGTACCTTCAAAATATTCACTGACAGCAGCGGTACGTATACAAAACTTACTTGAGGTGGTTCAGTGGTCATTTTGATGGACCTCTGTAGAATGTTGAGAGGAAACTTGTCGTCGGGCATCGATGAAAGCCAGAGCCTAAACCGGGGATGTATGCGAGGGTTGTCCAGGCCACGCAGTGAGCCGAGCCAGATGCAAGCCAAGTGACAATTGGCCAAGAACACCCAGCCGCCTTCTTTCATGCCCTGAGACATCAGTCTATGCGAAAACGCAAGTTAGTCTAGTACAGTGATTCCCTAAGTAGTCACGTTGGACCCCCAGGGATCCAAAAGGGATTCAACGGGGGACTATGTTGGCGCGAAATAAAACTAGGGCGCCAATTTCCAACGTTAGATTATCACATTTTGGACGACTCTAAAAAAATCATTGAGAACCCGGATGAGATTGATCAAATTGTTATTGTAACGAAATCGTGAAAAATAACTGAAAAGTGACTAAAGTCAATAAAAATATTTTCTTCCGATCCTTTTATAGTTAAGTGAAGTTATGGACACTTAACATTACAAGAGACATTGCGGAGAAACGCGATTAAGAGCCAACATACATTATTTATTAAAGCTACATTATTTATTGAAGCATTATTGCACAAATTAAAATGTACAAATGGCGAACTTAATGCCATGATGGCATTCTCTACCAGTATTATGAATGCATTCTACCTGGCAGCAGTAGGTGCCTGTCCTTGTCCGAGACTGAGCGACTGGAACTTGTCGAACATCTTCACGTCTATCGCTAGCTGAATAAGTGATGCTGTAGGGTCTACGCCCGGTGACAACACGAACAAAAGTGAGGTCTTCCATGAAGACTCTTCCCAAGCCGCCTGAATCAGGAAATACGAACAATTTATTTTCTAACGTTAGCTAAAAAGAAGTAATAATTATTATTACTCCGAAGATTCTTCTACCAATTTCTTTAACCTAATTGGGTATTCTATACTGTTTGAAATATTACTTGTAATAAAAACCCAAAATACAAATATTTCTGATATGTACACAAAACAGATGCATAGAGTAGGAGATCAAAAGATAAAAGAAAAGATGCTCATAAAACACGAACAATGCCATCTAACGATCGATTACGAAATAAAAAGATATAAATAAGCTAAGAACAGCGCCGTCTAGGAATTTGATTTAGAATCAATAGGCATATCTTTACGACAAATCCTGCAATAACGTCACACAAAGGCGGGTCGTGTTTCAAGTCACGTGACACACAGATTAAACATTTTAAGACTCAAAATCTGAATCTCTACTTTTAATAAACATTTTTCATATTGCACAAAAACTAATAATTCACATCAATCTAAAATTTTAGATTTTGTGCCTACCCTATTGATTTGGACTTAGTTCGAGATTCTTTGCCAAAGTGTGATTTTATCTATTATTTCTTATTAACACACATGGTGTATCGGCTTCTAAATAATTTTGCGGTTGAGTTTAATGTACTTAAGCGATACTTATATAGTCTGATATCTGAATATCATGACTGGTTTCAACTTCGATCTATTTTTTTTACATTAATAATTTTCTTAAAACTATATGACCTTGATATCCAGGACAGGCGGTTCCACATATCTGGGTCCGAGCACGTTGATGATGAATGTGGTGATACAAGCGGACACGCGGTCTACTCGCAGAGACCGAACGAATAATATTCGCTGAAAATCGTTGCACACATCGTTCCAATCACCTAGACACACCAGAATATCTAAGCCTCTCGTCACACTTTATTATTTGTAGAGAAAGAAATCAGATTAGATTACGAAGGTTCTGCTATATATTGAAGAACTGAATGAGACAGTAGTTAGGTCAGGCAGGTAGCGATTACGGAGGTTAAGGCAGATCGTTTTAATTCGTTAGCATCACATAGGACAGTTCTGCACCTCGACAGTGGAAACATAGGCGGTGTGTATAAATTTGAAATTTTAAGATAACAGTAATGTTGTTACACCACTTACCGACCAGCGGCTGAAGCTCAGGTTCTGGGTTTAGATACCATTCCTTCCACTCTTTGGTAAACACTTCGAAGGAGTCGATAACTCCGTGAAAGCCGGGTAGCTTATCCAATTCAGTTATATTGTCCCAGCACTCGTCCGGCATCCAGTCTAAAAAAATAATTTCATATGAAGGTATTTCTATCTCTTTATTGCGATAGTGACATTATCAAGAAAAAAATTAACAAAGCATTTTTTGATTATGTTTTTTCTATGAAAAATATATCACAACTTCAGAACGTATAAATAAATTTGTTGCATGAAGTTGTAGAACGTGTAACATGACACGGGAACAAAGTTATATATGTTGTAAGTATAACTAATTAAACCTCGTTGACACTCACTGGTAGGATTTTCTGGTTGTTCAGATCTATCCAAAACCACTCCACCCTTAAGCAGGAACAAGTATTCGTGCATGCTCATCTTTCCCATCTGGAAGAGGATCCGAGACACGATGTGGAAGGACAGCAGCAACTTGTGGCGCTCGAATAGCGCACGGCAAGTGTTCCTGGTCAAAGTCAAAATAATCTTTATTTAACAAGACTTCTTAAAATTACTTTTGAATCTTCCAACATTTTTTTTTCTACCAATCGTTCAGGACGTCTTGGCTGAGAAGAAGAATGATGTCATAGATATTCTCTTATCCAAAAGCACTGATTGGAGCTATTAGTAACTATTACAAAGATATTATTTAACTATTAATTGACAAATAATAATGGTGAAAATGATGAGACGTGGAATTTCAATGTGTTTCGTAATAAACAAATACAATTCAAAACAAATTTCAGTTACAACAACAATATCTCATTAAAAAATCGTTTTACAGTCAAATTGAGACGGCAAAGTCAATGTTTTAATTTGACGAAGGGGAATTTTAGTACTCCATTATATGTTTGTAAACCCTCATCATTACAACCGAATTTAAATTACAAGATTTATTGAGCAGGTTTTAGAGCACAACTAGTCATTGTATCAGCTAACGATAACTCACTTGTAGAGTGCATAAGTATGAAACTCGTTGAGGTTGTTAATGCGATCTTCCAGCTCTGTGCTCTTAGGACTTCGATCGATGGAGTAGTTGAATAAATCGATATATGCGTCCAAGGAAAACTGATACATGGGATCGATGCGGGAGAGATCGTTCAATGCAAAGAAAAGAACGGATGCTCTGATCGCGACAGGCACGTAACCCTGAAAAGCAGTGACAGTAAGAATGTTGAATGTAAGAATGCTCAACTACTGGATGGTTATATGTATAAGATGTCTTTTATAAAATAAATAGTTTCACATTTTAATATTTATTATCTACTTCATTTATTTTCTACAAAATAAAGCCTCTTTAGATGTAAATGATATATGAGAGGAATCTAAGCAAGTTTATAATTCAAATTGATCTTGATTTCCAATTTTCTGATGATTAATTTTTAATCTTATCTCGTTGAAAACCTTCACTCACCTGCCTCGCGGTATCGATCTCCTTTTCAGTATCTTGTGACGTGATGAGTGCTTCCTTGACTTCAAGTGAAGTCCTCTGTGACGTCTGTAGCGTCACAAACAACTCCTCGTTCTCTAACAAAGGCACTTGGGATTCGTACATAATGCGGAGTAAATCATTCTCCAAGTCCATCTAAGAGTAACAAACATGAAATTACTGGTCCGTTAATCACTCTCCCCTTATAAATTAGTTGAAAAAAAAAACAAAATTAACGTTCTGTTCGTAATAAAAGAGTTATAGCACAAAAGCTGTACCCATCTGTAAGGCTTATATCTCTAACACACTACGATATAAAGTCTCGTTCATCCCCAATCACTATCAGATGGCTATCGAAAACCAATTTTACTTACAAGTACTTTCTTATTATTAGCGATGGTCATGACCAACGTGTCCTTCATTTGCTCAAGCTGTGGCCTCTCCTTACGCACCACGATGCCCAGGAGTTGGGCAGTCAGACCTTGTTCCTTCACCGCAAAATTCACCATCGTTGTTTTAGTAAGTGTTTCCGGTGTATACACTGGATTGCCTGTACAGAACATTAGAGCTTAATAAATCTCTTTAAGTTTAGTATTATATACATCAAAGGGATGATTGCTTTTTTTATAAAATCGTATTAAGCAAGAAAAACCAAGGTGTGAAAAAAATCTCCAAAATCTGTCATTTAATTTCACTTACCCAACTTTGTCGTAAGATACATTTTAAAATTAGTATTATAAGGCACCATTTTCTCGTTAAACTTGATAACCGTAGAGCTTCCGATGACGACAATAGCCTTGTCGAGAATGGGAGCGATAGATGGATCCAATACTTCACCAACGTTTTGTACAATGACAGGCTTTCCCTCAGTCAGGCAAGTTTCCATGATCTTTAGATAATTTGGTTGGCCAAAGTCGACAATCTATTAATAAATTATAGTATGAGTTGACTTCCACATTATTCTATACTAGCTGTTTTCCACGACTAACGACGTAAATTTCAGCCAGTGTCCCGTAAATAAAAGTATTATTAAAATTGGTCCAGCCCAGCGATTTTGTAAAAATCCTACTACTCTGCAGTAGTTTCGGAGCCTATTCGATGGAAACAAAAAATTACCTCTAGTATTTACCTCTAATATCATTATCATAAAAAAATAAGATAATTTTTATTAGTTAAAACGCTAATAGGATAACACGAGTTTTCTTTAGCTTTTCTCGGCGCTTTGGAGCGCGCTAGGAGTTAATAGTTTAGTTTTGAATAAAGTATGTATGAGTAATAAAATAAATTGCCTGTATATCATTTTTCTCTTCCATTCTAGAGATCCATATGAGCGCTTGCCCTTGAGGATCAATTGCCAAAGGCCATCGCGTCGCTCGGACTACGATTATACCATTCTCTGCACTGAAGTTGTCGTCTATGACAAACATAGAATTAACGCAGATAAACAAAATTTAAATCGATATTTTGTGTATATATAGAAACAGGGCCAGCATCTGAGAAAGATTCTAAAACACAAATTTTCATTGAAGCATTCCGCTGGAATTCCGACGAAATCTATCCATTATCTCTACACCAGATCCCTTGCAAGTCAGAGAGAGAGCCAATTAGCAATTTGACTGATTTTAATAAATTGCTAATAATAATAACACACCCAACAATATTATGGATTCTTCATTTGAATAGAATTGATTTTGTATTTTTAAAGTATATTTTTAAATTGCTCACCAGGTAAGCCCATGTAATTCCAATCTCTCAGTGTGGCATCATCTAATAAGAAATATTTCATCGAAAGGTCCATCGTTACAGGTACGTTTTCATTATATACCTGTATTGAACATATATGATCTAATAAGTAAAATCTATTTTTAAAACAGGTATCAGATCTAATACACTGCATACTGACAAATAACAGTGGTATTACACCATGAATAAATATAAGACAGGAAGATTTTCTGAGTGAAATAATGAGATTCCGAGTCATACCTAAAATTAAAAACATTAAGGTTTTAAAATTGAATGCTTATAAAACTTATACATTCAAAACAGCTTAATTTTCTAAAAATACTTGAGCAGAAGACTTAGCAACAGAACACACCTCCATAAACCAATCACTCATAAGCGCCTCTCTGTACTCGGAGACGAATGGCCCAAGGTAAGCCACGAATCCTGTGGCGATTAGGCAGTCACCTGGCAAATTGTCGAATTCTTTGTCTAACCGCTCCACCGTCACTTCCCAACGCTCGCGCTCACCTATATAAATAAACGATATGTACTAAATTTTTATACATTCCACAGCTGGATAAGCAATAATGTTTCAACCCACACATATCCAACATTTTGAGAAAATGGCGTCTAAGGATGTATTTATGACAAAAGAGTGTATTTTTCATATTTGTTTCGCTCGTGTGAGTTGAAGCTCTTCTGCTAAATTTAAGTATGTATGTAAGGTATAATCAGAACGCATCAAATTATCCGTAAGCAACTTTCTGTGGGTTAACACATTATTGCTTATCAGCGTCTTCTGTGAAAGATTTTATATTACGCGGAAGGAAGTTTTTTGAACACATTTTGATGGACTTCTACAAAAAAATTTCCAAGTAGACTACTTTTCCCACAGAGAATGTTTTAAGCACATCCCATCCACTACAATAAAGTTGTAACATTCCCTTCAGTGAGTCCCGTGAGCTAAAAGGGGAAATCGAATAGTGTACCCTTTCTTCGGAAATATAACTAGATATACGAACTCCTCAAGCCAAACTTACCTGAAAGACCAGTGATCAGAGCTTCGGCTCTCTCCAGTTTCAACTGCAGCATCCTCGATTTCCTTTCGAGCTCATCTTTTTGTGCAACTTTCTCATCGTATTCTTTTTGCAATCGGGCGATCATCTCGCTAAGCTCGCGGAGTTTAGCTCGCGCCTCGGCCAAAATCTGTTGCTTCATTCGTAAAGATTCTAGAGCTTCCTCTAAGCGTTCCTTTTTCGGTTTCACGATTCTTTTTAGGGAATTAGCTAATCATTATGTATTCTTTTTATAACATCAGCGTTAATTAACTACTATAAACGATTTTTAAAAACAACTCGATAGACTCGGAACAGTTATGTCAGTGCTTGTATTATCATAGTGTATACTTTTTTGTAGAGCCAACAATCCCTAGGAATTACAATTTTAAACTTAACGCAGCAGACAAAGTCACGACAGAATCTCGAATAATACATTCAAGTAGAGTCTAAGTAGATACTTACTTGTAGACCTTGCCATACTTCTCGATGGCTCTCACCCACAAACAAAGAGACTTAGCGGCAGCGGACACCGTGCCAACTATCTCCGGATCGAAATCAGGTTTGGCGGTGTACGTGCCAATCTTCTTCAAGGTTTTATCGGATATGTTGTCCTTATCGAAATCTCGCAATCGATCAAGGAAGTATTGATCTCCTAGCTGACGTTTAGCCTCTGCCCACGTTGGCTCTTTCTGATTTTGATGAAAAAAATATTATTAATGCACTTAGCTCATTGTTTAAAAAAATCTAAAAACAAACTATTTTATAAATGGGTCTTTGCAGCGGAATGTTTGGTAAACAATTAAAGCAGTTAGAAAATATGAAATTACTTTATGCTAACCATGTAAAAAGACTCACTTGTAACAATATAAGTACTGCTTCCAAAACCATCTCAACTTTTTGAGGCGGTTTAGCGTAAGATTTTACTTCCGTAATATCCTTCTTGTTTAAAGCATCCAAAGCCTGTAAAATATTTCGAATTTAGATGGGTATTGTTATCAGTTGCAACAAATAAGACAGCAGAGAAGATATATTTTGTAGGATAATGACGTAGTGAAGCGGACCGTTGTCAAATAAATCTGCGACAGATGACTATTTGCCGTCGTATAGAACCTCTATTATCTTTTCTTTAGCCTGTCTTTCCATACATTTTCATCCACATTTACCCATAATAATTTTTCTCATCTGCATATTCTCATACGTAAGACACAGTCTACCACTGCATCATCAATGTCGTCTTCGTACTTTCTGGAAGTGAGCGATAAAAAAACCAGCCAAGTGCTAATCCAATTCATGCACATAGGATTCCGTACCGGAAATGAGCAAAAATCACGTTCGTTTTATGAGAGCCCCTTAAATATTTATTTCAATATGATTTTTAGTATTTCTCGTTGAAGCGGCAACAGAAATACATCATATATGAAAATTTCAACTGTCTAACTTTCACGGCCTGGCGACAGACAGACAGCGAAGTCTTAGTGTTACCCTTCGGGTATGTAACCCAAAAATTTGTCAACACCCCAGTAGCGGACTAACTCCATTATAAGACCTGGGCGGCACCAGCCCACCATCGCCACCGAAAACAACACAATCCTCACCTTGACCGCCTCCTCTAAAGCGGGCATGGCGGAGGCGAGGTCCCGCATGGCGGCGTCGGCCAGCTTTTTGCACTGCACCTCCTCCTCCATGGTCTTCTTGCTGCGCGCGGCGACGCTGCGCTGCTGCTCGTCCGCGTTGCGCTGCTGGACGTTGATCACGCCCATGTACTCTATACACTGCTCGGTGTACTCCGCCACTTGTTCCTGGCCGACCGATATAAGTCCCGTAAATCGCTAATGCGCTGAAACCTTGTCTAAATACGATAATATCTGAGTGACGTAATAGAAAGTACAGATAGCACAAAAGGCGAGAGATAAAATATTAATTAATTATTGAAATATTTAACTAGTATGAATTAAATAAGAATTAAAAACTTTATATTCATATTTGCACAGCATCACCTTCTTTACAATGGGAAGAGAAGTAACACAAAACTTTGTGATCAATAAAAGTAGTGGCTTGTTGATTCGGCGAATGATACTAAAATAATCAAAAAATACAAATGTCTCTGAAACCATTTCAGTGAAGCTTAATATTAAAAAAATATATAATGATCTGTTTACAAATATAACAATTTAGTAAGTAAGGAATTAGTATCTGTTTTGAATATGATGCGTCGTTTTCGTGGATAATTAACCTTTGCAATGGCCAACTCTTCAGACATTTGCCCGACCAGCTTGGTCGTTTCTTCCACCTTTCCTAGACCGTTCCTAAGTTTGTTCGCTTGAAGTGCTATTTCGAATCTTTTCATTTTCAACATCCTATAAAAATAGCATCGAATAATTAAAATTTTGGATTAAAATCTTTTTGATCTCAGAAAGTTTTCATCTGTACTTGAAATCTAACCATCAGTTGATCTTTTCAGGAGTGTAAAATCTTTTTCTATGACACTACGTCACAAGCTCCATTTTGTTATTAGAATAAAAAACAACATAGTCGTACTTATTATTCTACAGTTTTTATTTAAAAAACAAATCCCACTCTTTATATCCGGACACCAATTCGAGATAGTTGGTGGGCGTAACGTAGTTGGTTCGTCGCATCTCCTGCCACATCTTGACGGAGTATTTTCCGACAGAAGAGTGAATCAAGGACATTATGGAAGCTGCTGAAGCTCGGAGGGCATCCTCTCGACTTTCAACCAGAGATTCTTTCCTACGGATCTGAAGTCCGAATAAATGAACACTAAAACTTTATCCTGCCCTGTGATTCTGTAAAAATCCAAACCCGAAGTCGAATTCACTCTGGTATCAGAATTCACTTCAAAAAGCGGTAGGGGAGCGGGGGGTATTGGGAGCGGTCGGGTAATGAGAGCGCTACTGGTAGAACGGAACGTATTCGCTTTGGCATGATCGTAAGTACTCGGCCGCTTCCGTCAAACATCGACAAACTTCGCCTGATGCGCACGAGCCGGCAGTCCAATTAGTTGAGTCACGAGGGACGGTTGTGTGTTTTTCGCTCTAAGCTTACAAGAAAACAGCAGATTGTCAGCGCCAAGGTAAGCTTTAGTTATATTCTTTTTTTAATGGGTTCGTCCATAACAGATCCATCATTTCATAATCTAACAATTCCAATTGGTTAAATTGAGTTTGAAAATAAAAGTACGTATTTAGATTAGTTTTTTTCCAAAATGGAGGTCAACGGGTAATGGTAGCCTATGATGGCTCTCACTACCCGACATAGCTTCCATTACCCCATTTCCAAAATTATATATTGATGTCGTTTCAGTTCTCAAGAAAACTTCTTTTTTATTTTAGATGCCACGTAAAAGGAATCGTACGACCACAAAAGCGTCATGGACGGTTGATACACTAGAAAAAGCCGTCACTGTTTTAAAAAGAGGAGGTACTTCGGTATACAAAGTATCTCAACAAACCGGCAAACCTTACAGCACATTAAAAAAGAGATACAATTTAGCGAAGGCAAACATTGCTAGTTACAAAAACTCTCCTAAGCTGGGAAGGCGTACTGTATTCAGTATTGCACAAGAAGAAATACTGGCTAACCACCTTCGAACTATGTCAAATAAATTTTTTGGCCTGACGAGAGAACAGTTTCGTAAAGTATGTTATAGTGTGGCTAAACAGTTAGGTGTAGATGATAGATTTAACCAAGTCAACGAAACTGCGGGAAAAGATTGGCTAGCTGGATATTTACAACGCCATCCTGATTTGAGCATAAGAAAGCCTGAAGTTATTAGTATTAATAGAATCCTCGGATTTAACAGGACTGAAGTAACGCTTTTTTTTAACAACTTGGAAAGATTAATGACGCAACATAACTTCGAACCACATAGGATTTATAATGTTATTTGTGTTTACTAAATTTTATGTACGATCTCAATTAAACTACTTAGGTTAAGTTAAATTTTTGGTAAATTTAAAGTTTGTGGCTTTTAGTTTAGATCCTTAAAAAATGGATATGACCTGTTCACTTTTTGTAATGTCGCATTTATTATTTGTTGTTTTGTTTGATAAGTTGTCTTTTTATTTTTGTTAACTAGATTTTATGTTAGATCTCACTTAAACATACATAAGTTTAGTTAAATTTTCGATAAATCTAAGAGAGTGGCTCCCATTTCCCATATGAGCGTTAAATAGGCTCTCATTTCCCGCATGTGTCGGGTAATGGAAGCGACTGACTTTTTTTGTAAAACTTTCATTGTATCCTAATTCTTGGCTGTATTAAATTATAAGTTTGATTAAACTACACTCTAATAATAAAGGTAAGAGTTTCCACTATAAAATAATTAAAATGTTAAAAAATTTGGTTTTTATTAAAATTTTCCCTTAGTAGGCTCCCATTACCCTATACTCCCCTATACGCTCAATCTTGAATTGGTTATGTTTTGTGGCATAAGTGAAGTAAGTTTCGAAATGACATAGGAATAGAATATCTGAGACACATATAAACAATCAATTTTGTTTTGTATTTTTATACAAAAATTGAATCAATATAATATCTTCACTAAATGACGTGAATTCGGACACATGAGTGGATTCGGGATCGGATTTTTACAGAATTGCCCAGCAGAACTACGCGAGAATATGGCGTGTTTCTTTAATAAATATTAGTGTCGCAAATAGATAAAACGTTTTAATAGATTAATTAAAATAATTTGAATAGAAAAGATATGCCCGACAGAGTTTGCAATCGCAATTTAGCTAGCGATCGTATTTTGACGATTTAGGTATTGCAAGCAATGAGTTTAATAACTAGAGAAGCAATTTCATACGTAGCTTTGCAAATAATATTTATACTATATAATATAAATAGGTTTATTATATTTGTCTCCTTCATATCTACGATTAAACTTTAAATTAAACAAAGACAGAATATGTGCGAACGACAGAATGAACGGAAAATGGGTAATTGATATTTTATTTGCCAGCTGTCGAAAATTTCACCCATTGTGATGAATGAATGAATTAATGAGTAGTGTAGATATATGTATAAAATCAATTAGTAAAATACTGTAACTATGAAAATTTCTTTGAAATCAAGTGAAACCTTAAATATTTTGATAAAGATGTGTAAACATACAGTATTCAAAACAAATGTTACCGATTTTGACTTTTAACTTTGTTGGACATATAATAAAAGCATAAATAAGACAAGGTAAAACTAACTCTTGGTCCAGTAATAGAAGCCAATAGTTCTACGCCTTCTAGAAACTTGTATGCGACCTCGAGAAGCGCCTCCCGTGGCCACTCCAGGAACCAATTAGTGGTGGTCGCGTTGATCAACGCCGGGTATTGACGAATACGGTTCCTAATACCATTTGATACATTAAATAGTACCACGTTTCTCCGATTATGTACCGATAGTCAAGTGTGCAATATATATTAATTAAAAACATACAAATTTCCCGGCTTTAAATAGCTCGGTGGCGTAGTGGATATGTGTCGGGCCCGCCATCGTTTTTAGCAACTTTCGCAAAGGTCGGTCACGAGATGGGTAAACAAAAAATTACTATCTCGAGCTACTCCGGCTGCAGAAGGCACGTTAAGCTGTTGGTCTCGGTTGCATTTGTGGTCGTTAATACCTTCTAATCCGCATTAGACCAGCGTGGAGGGTCCCAGATAGTATGCACACTTGGGGCAAATTTAGTTTTTTGATTTTAAATTGCTGCTTCAAATATGATGAGGTAACTTTGTGTCAATATCGCTGCAATATTGTTATGTTAATTAAGAAGTTAATGTTAAAGATAATGTTTCAAAATTTGTGGCAACATTGCTGCAACCTCAACGTTCAGTTATCTTAGCCTCGGTTTTCATTATTCCGAGTCGGCATTTTTGGATAATCAAAAATTTTGGTAAACACTAAAAAAGAATCGAATCAGAATTCGAGTCGGAAGACTCGAACAGGCATTCGAATACTGGCACGAGTATTCGAGTACTTCAGTGGACTAGAGTACCGAGTAATATTTGCCTCGAAACCTGTATTCGAGGTACTCAAGTACCTGAATACCTGCTAGGTATTCGAGTCAGTCTGACTCGGTACATCTCTAGTTTTCGTTTGTCGAGACATTATAAAGTACTCTTTGGTCGAGACTAACTGACATGCGCGGTGAAATTTTAGATCGAGTTTTTTAAAACTTAATAGATCGCTACGATTTTGTTGTTAAGATTTGTGTGCTTGTGCTTATGGAATAAATAAGTCTACTTTTTGCTTTAGTGATATTAAGGTAAGTCTGTTTTATATTTTTTGTAGCTTCTTTCTTTTAATGTTATTCACAGTTAAGTATGTTTTTATTCTTAAGGAAGGAGTAAACATGTCTCAAAAACCCTTTTTACTAATATCCAAACAAGGACAGTCAAAAAGAATCAGGAGAGAAATGGCACACACTCATGCAAATACCAATGCCGTTGGCAATCATTCTAAACAAGAAATTTAATTTTGTCATGAACTGCATGGCCTAATAATGAGAAGGAATTTGAAAATAATAACCCAGATGCCTATTCTCTTCTTTCCAATTCCCTTACCATCCAATAATCTTGTTCGTCTGATGAAAATGTTTCTGTATATCAAAATTTTATTGACGAAAGCAGTGGCGTAACTACAGGGTGGCAAGTCGGCAAATTGCCGCCGGCCCCCAGCTGGAAGGGGCCCCCTAAGAGACTCCTTAATTAAGAGGAGACTCCTTACTCCTGACACTTATTATTACATGATTAGTAAAAATAGAATGTCAGATGAATTTGCCATGGGCCTCAAACGGTATAGTTACGCCACTGGATGAAAGACCCCTACCAGACATTGAATATGAAACTAATTTAACTTACTGATGCATTTGTAATGATACATTTGTTAGCAATTTAAGACAATGGGCTCTAATCTAATCTAATAGGCAATAAGTGAATTTTTTCTGCTAATTAACATTCATGGTGTACCTTTATTTAAAAGTAGTTCAACTGAGTCATGGCTAGTTTAAGGAGTGTCAGCCAGTCCCAGTGAAAATTTTCCCTATTAGTGTTTATTGTAACTCTAAGAAGCCTCAGAGCTGCACATCTTTTATGCAGGAATTCATAACAAGGCAGCTACTTTAATTAAGTCTGGAGGTAATAACATTAAAGTTGGTATAAAAGGTTTTGTCTGTGATGCTCCATACAAGTCTTTTTTATTAGGAGTCAAGGGTCTTACTGGTTATTATTCTTGTACAAAATGCAAGCAATCCGTTATATATAATGGCAAAACTGAATGACATTTTACTAAATGTCATGAACCTCTTAGAACCCATGAAGAATTTCTTAAGATGCATATGAAGATTTTCACAATTCAAGTACACCTTTAATTGAAATTCGTGGGATAATTTAGCATTTAATTAAATATATTTTCTTTAAGATTTTGAAGTAAGTATACATTCACTAGTTTAGATATTTATATAATAAATACACATAATTAAAATTTATTATGATAGATATGAAAGCTTCGTCATTGTCACATTTGTGAATGAAGATGATGCACCCAGAATAGAAGTATCAACTTGGCTCGACCTACATGCCAAAACTTGTTACTACCCAAATGTACATACAGAGGAGATGAAAAACAAAATTTTAAGAAAAATGGCTGACCACGACAACTTATGGCCACAATTTCAAATAAAAGTTGTGAAAAGTTATGGTATGTCATTTATTTCTCTACATAAGTTGTTTAAGAATTATAGTTAACTTATGGATTTCACTAGTTCTAGCACACTTAGATTAATTTCTAAAAAACATGCATTATCATTTCAGAAATTTATAATGAGGCATGTCTCCACTTGGAAAAAGATGAAGAAACTTCCAATTTAGACTTAGATGATGAAGTCATCATACGTAAAAGAAAGATCAAGAAAGAATATTCACCTGAAGATTCAGATTCTCCAGACAATTCAAGTCTCGAATACCCCATTGCTCCTAAACGTCAGTCATTAAGAAGAAGAAATAATGAGTGTACTAAAAAATTGACAGATGTGGCTGCAACAAACAGTTCAGTCGAAATGGTTCAAAATAATGTAGACAATCTTACACCTGGTAAAGTTCTTATTTTTTTGATAATACTTATCTATGCTATCCAGCTATCCAGTCTTATTTTTTTTAAATTACAGGTTGTATTCAAAGCACATCTAAATTAAATTCAACAAACGCAACTCCTGAATATGCTTTTACAAGAAACACCTCATTTACTGGAAAAGTTGAAGATGTTAATGAAATTCCAGATCTAACAAACAGCACCAATATTGATTCAAATCACACTATAAATTGTCCATCTGGTGAGGACTTTAACTAATTTTTTAAATGTTTTCTTTTACATGGGCCATTCAGATGTAACTTGCTCTTTATTACAGGCTGCATTCTGAGTAAGCAGTTTACAATACAACAAAGCCATCTTATCCAGGTGGTCACAGACTTATCTGTACAGATGAATGAAGTTAATAGAAAACTGGACTTACTGTTAGCACGGTCATCTTCACAACCAATAGATCAACGAGAGGACACTTTTACAATTCCTGACTTTCTGGCAAATCTTCCAGTAGAGGATGACACAAGTTTTTGTAATTTGAATGAACAGTTGAAGATTAGCCACAACAAAAAATCTATTGTAGGTATAATATAGGTTATTTAAAGGTAAAGCAACAAAATTATATTACTTGCTTTGGACTTGAACAAACATGCTTGTAACACAATAAATGGCAAAATTATTAATAATGTTCTCGAATATCACTCACAGTGAGCAACCTTTTTAAACAGTGCTGACTTCCACTCTCCTTATATAATCATCATATAATCTTATATTTTTTTATCTCAATAATGTTGATGATTTATCACATTTTTAGATGAAATTCTTGGCTGGAATTGGTGGCAGAAATGCTCGTAGCCTTACTACAAATATTCTTAGACGAACATTGCTTGATGAAGTAGCAGAGTTATATTCATTAACGGGAAAACAAATGAAAAATTCAAACAAAAAATCATTTCTGACAACAGAACTATGTAAAGTAATCTTTCGTAAGTATTTATCAATTATAAATTCAAACAACGATTTTATGACATATCCTAAACTATATTGTGGGATAATAAGCACGTAAACCATTGTCTACTCCCATACTGGGCCAGTGCCTTACAACGTCGCAAATCAAAATAAACCTCTAACCCAGCTGTAGGGGTTCCCTCTTTTCTTTGAATTACCTACTTTTAATAGTGATGATATAGACAATGCTGGGAGGGCGCTGTTAGCCGAAATACAGTAATAAACTAGCTCGGCTACAGACGCTAATCTATTTATAAAATTCGTTAGCCATTGAATTATAATGTTTAATTTTAAGTATTAATTTTTAATTTACTTTCTTGTATTTTTGGCTGTGTGTAAATAAATATTATTATTATTATTATTATTATTACTTACCTGCTTAACTGAACTGATATGATTGTTTTATAATATTTTTTCTTTCTACAGAAATCTGCAAAAAAATCTACGATGTAACGGAAGAACATCTCAAGGAGGTTATTGGCGACTGGCTGAATCAAGCAAAAGTTAGATTAAGAAGGAGGTAAGATTCTGAAAATGGATCACACATCTTTCTCACTTTTCACTTTCCATGTCCATGCAGCGTGTGTACATAACTACATTGTTACTTTTAACCCCTTTTTCTGTACAGTTTATAATTCTTTTATTTGTTTCAGAGCTGATAGAAAAAAACAATCACCAGAATCAGAAGCTAGCGGGTCTAATCTGGGTGCTAATGAATTGTTTTAGACAATATTTTTAAATTGTGATTTTTTTCTTAATGACTGATTAATAAAATAGTTATACGATTATAAAGTGGTATTGTATTTTATAATCGCGTTGTTGTATGCACGAAGTCACAGCAACATTAGTGTGAAGACAAATTATACTGCTTTCTTAGGTTATACTTATCTATGCAGGTCATGTACAAAAGAATACACACTTTTTTTTTATTTTATTTACAATGGGCTCAATCCTTAATCTAGCCCAAGGACATAGATGAGATCTACGGTAGGACGAGCTTACCCAGAAGGAACCTATTCATTCATGCAGGACTAGAGTAGGTTGATAGTTTGTGATTGCGTTTTGTACGCAAAATTAAAAAAGAGAGAAATGATTGACCTGCACAGATAAATTTGTCTAAAAGAGGAAGTATTTAAAAAAAAACGAAAGCACTAAAAAAGTACCTCCACTAGATGGCGACTTTTTACTAAAAGTTCGAAACTTAGTTATCAATACAAATACAAAAAAGTACAAATAGAATATGAATTGCTTACTGAGTTTTGAAAACTAATTAACATGAAATAAAACCGGAAGGGTTGTCATGGAGAAATCAAGAACGTACCGTAGCGACATCTAGTTTGATTTCGGGAACTAATCTTTCTTTTTAATACTTCGTCATTGTACAGTTTTGTTTCGGACACTATTTTAGTAGTCTGTGGCCGCAAGATTTGTAATATAAGGTGTTTGGCCACGGGCTAGTGCCCAAATTGTCAGGTCTCATTAAAAACTACAATTTTATATTAGGTATTTATATTCTTCTCTACCTATATTCACTGTGTTACTTTGTTGTGGTTTCGTGTAGTTACAGCCCGCATAATCACCCTTATAAACTTTAAATATTTACTATCGTAGCAAATGCAGTGCAAGTTTCTGATAACAAACTTGTTATCATTGTAAAACAAACTTGCTTGCAAGTTTAATAATTTGCTTATATCAATAATGTAATTTGCTTGCAAGTTTGTCACACTGTAACTATGAAAGTTTGATTTAATCTTGCTGCAAATTTTTAAAGTTGCCATGACAAACTTAAAGCAAACCTTCCTTTTTGATGTATCAAACTTGTTGCAAGTCTGAAACTAGTTTAAATTGTTATCTGATGGCCGATCCTCCTTAACCCCTGCTGTGGGGACGTAACAGGGCTGATGATGACAAATATCTACATGATGCAACTACCTTATAAGTAAGCGGCGTAGAAATATAGTACTCATTCTTGTATGCCATACCTGAATTCATCTCCAATGGGACTGAAACACAAGACGATATGCATATTAGTACGAACTCGATCCACCAGAAACAGGTAGACAGCTTCGGCTGTCTGCATTATGTTCTGGTTTTTCATGGGCTTTTCTAAGCCAGATTTAATCTGAAATAATGCCAAATTGTTCTGAACTTTCTTCAACCATTCTTGAGTTATAAATTTTACGATGACAAATACAGGGTTAGATATAAAACGCCAACAAACGCACAGGATTAGGTAGCTAACATTATAAATAACAACGGATGTTCTTTGGCTTTTGATAATTCGTTAAATGAAGGGTTAATCTGTAAGGGGTGTGTCACGATAGTGCAATTAAAATTTCAAAATATTTTTTATTGAAAGTATTGAGTTAGTTATTTTGCATTCACAATACTATACTAATAAGTGTTTTCAATGAAAAATATCCCGAGGTGGGACTCCACCCCGCGACGTTTCGCAACCCGAGCGCAATTATTTCAAAAGTATTGAGTTACATTAAAACTCGTATTTCAAACGTAGTTGTTAATAATATAAGCTACACACTAACTTAAGAAGTTGCTGGTGTACAAATAACCCTGTATATGCGTTTAGATCAATGCAAAACATAATACATCTTCAAACTCATCCGGCTTATATAAATTGGTGATCTCCCCGCTACTAAGGAGGTTGTTGATGATTTCCGTGAAGGACTCTTCGGTGATCTGAGTGTCGCAGAATATGAAAGTGGTCTTCTTCGCGTCAACACCACAACTCGTGTAAAGCACCTGTAGTTTATTAAAAATATTATTACAACAGAATCTGAGATTCAAATACTGAGAAAAACTTGGAATAAATTTATATACCTAGTTACTCACTTAAAAAAATTTAGATAATAGATTAAATACTAGAGATTTCGTCAGTCGCTAAGGATAAATTGTCCCACCAAGACAATAATAACCAACATCACGCTCAAATGGGCTCGTGTCCTATACGTGAAAATGCAAGTTTCTGTTATATATTCGGAATATTTGAACTATTTTAACCCATAAATATTCAGCAAAATAACTTTTATAAAAGAGTACTAAAAAGTTTTCTAAAAACATATGGCACTAAATTAGTTACATAAAACGTTACAACTTTCATTATAACAGCTATTAGCATAAACGCAAAAATAACAAAGATTGCCCAAACGCCTGTACGTTTTTCGCTACCGTAGCACTGTATGACGTCACTTAATGCCTTGAATTTGTATAAAGCATTTTCGTTCGACCAGCAGCAGTTCCACAAACAGAACCATATCATCAAAACAATAAACCACAGACATGCTGTTACTTCTACACTATTAATTTTATATTAATGGGCTATTAAATTAAAAGACACCTTCAAGTCTTCCCTGAACTCCTTGATACCATATGTCTTGGTGACGACAACTTGGAACGTGTTACACTCGCATATGTACGAAGCCACGCGGGTCAAACTCTGACGTCCGGATCCACCTGATTCCACATAAATGTCATAATAGAACGAAGAAGACCAAATCAATGTACTTTTTTATTAAACACAAAGTTATATGGAGCGTTTTATTGTTGCTAAAAACACACACATTAAACGAATAATTTAAAAAATTCTTTTTAATTACATGTTACTACAGAATAACGTGAATTTTATTATTTAAGTTACATTTGTCTTACATACTGTAGAGTAGCTTAGTGGCGTAGAGGATAAACGCCGCGGCCCGAGATCGTTGCTGTTAAGCAACTTTCGCAAGGGTCGGTCACGGGATGGGTGACCAATAGATTATTATCTCGAGCTACTCTGTGCTTCGGAAGGCACGTTAAGCCGTTGGTCCCGGCTGAATTTGCAGTCGTTAATACCCTCCAATCCGCATTGGGCCAGCGTGGAGGGTCATGGCCCATCCTCCTTAACCATCCACGAGGAAGGCCTGAGCCCCTGCAGTGGAGACGTAAAAGGGCTGATGATGATGATGATGATGACTGTAACTAACAATCCTTGAGTGAAATTTGATTGTATTTAATGTCAACAAAATCGAAGCCAATGTAGTTACGCGGTAGACCTGGGGAACCACAGTAACATCAAGCCATGCGCAGGTCTAATACTCAATCGAATTTGTGGATATTAATGAATTCAGATGCAGTCGTGACCGACAACCTAACGTGCCTTTCGAAACGAGGACCAAAATGAAATATTTATCATGCATCGAATGATCAACCTTTGTGCACGTTAAAGAGCGTAAAATAGCAGGTATTATGTAGTTTGTGAAACGATTATCTAGTGAACGCACCTATTCCCACACAGAGTACGTTGCCCCTCGGCTGTGAAATAACTCGCACTATACGGCAAATGTGTTCTATAGCATCCTTAAATAGTACGAGGTCCATCTTCACCACTCCTGGGCAGCTGTTGTACTCTTCCATCTGATTCACTATGTATCTAGAGAGTTTAAAAATAATTTAAAACTTAGCTCCAGAAATCAACACTACATTGTGTCCCGAAAGTAAAGCTCTCCACCTCTGTCATTCTGTGTCTGTTCTTTATTTCTTCCTAAATTCAAACCCAGTATCATTTATTCAGTCCAAGTTGTTACAAACTATTGTGAATATCGAAAAAAAACAAAAACTAAAACCCAATTTCAGCTAAATCACGCCCTAAAAAGTTTGAAACTTATTTCATTTGATACACGGAATGATTGAAAAATATATTTTATTAGTTTCTTAACTTATGCTCTTTAGTGGGCGCTGTTGCCAATATAATGTAACATCACATAGCCTACAGCACGCGGACAACTAAGATGCTTCTAATGATATCTCATTTATCCAGTTACGATGAATAGTTTCGAAGTTATAAGGAAACAGATGAACATTCGTACATACATACATGCCGGCCAAAATCATAACCCGCCTTTTCGCTTCGCCGTAGACGGGTAAAAAAATACCATCGGTTCGCAAATCTAAGGTGGAAGACCTTATACTGAGGTTCTCTTTGGATATCTTCACGAGAAAGATTTAGGCCCCATGTGAAGCTGGGCTACCTATCTTTACTATCAGTTTATTGACTTTCAATATGGTAATAATTCAGTTTATTAAGTTCTTGACGACTTATAATATTAATAAAGCTGTTAAATTATTCTAGCGACATATTTTTACAGTTACATACATATTTACAAATATTTAGAAACCTTCTCAACGCAGCCGGGTCATTGAGATCATCATACACTTCAAATGGGTTAAGGAAATGTCCAAACAGCGGTGCACTCTTGGAAGGACATAGCGCGTGGAATGTCAGCTCGAAGTGTTTCCCCAGCATGTCGCCCATGTTATTCATAAACCAGTCGCGGTCTCTGTATAACGGGCGCAAACTGTACTACATGCAATGTAAATTTAAGAACACGTCGCGTATAGAACGGTTGCGTTGTTGCTTTATTTCTATACAGCACCATCGTATGCAGACCTTCGTTAGTAGAGAAGTTCTTTTAATAATAATAATTCATTTATTGCATGTCACATAGTAAAACAGGGGTTATTATTAGGTACAGTTTATGTGACACCCTGTAAGGGTATAGCAAATATAATAAATTAAAATTAAAATTTCATTGTAAATAGTAAATGCTTTAAATAAAATCTTCTATATCTTCACTTTCCTCAATATCTTACATTCATAAAATTTCATTTAAATTCACATTCGTCCCTAATTTTCATTTTAAAAATAATCATAAGTATATAAAATTAAGGTTAATTGTCAGGTAATTTTCAATTAAGTACAATAAATGTCAAATGCTTAGAATTAAAAATTATAAATCGTGTCACAATGTAGATGTCAAAGCAAATAAAAGTTACATTGTCAAGAGATAAATTCAATTGTCAAGGAAGAAAAAAAAACATGTTATGACAACGGCAATAAAATATTACAATTTGTCATCAATATATTAAAAAAAATAGAAAGTTCTGGTCTATACAAAGTGCGGTCGGTATAAAGTCCACAATATATGGTCTGACGTGTAGCCGTGTGTACAGATAAAGGAACTTAAAAAAATACTATTCAAGGTTTTAAGCGGAAGGTTAATAGATTTTCAATCTCACTTAAATATCGACTTATGTAGGTGTACCGAATTTCCAAAATCATTTTTTGCGTGTTTGTAATTACGACTTTATTCCATCAGACGAGTGTTATATATTTGAAATGTAATTTGTAGTGTTGAAATTTATATAACTGAATAAATAAATGAACAAAAATTAAATTGTATATTCCACATTGAAATATTCTTACTTCTCATCAATCAGTCGGTCGCAGAATACCCTGAAACATTCGTGTACCCATAGTCTCAAAAACCTCGCCTTCGTGTTTGTGTAGTCCTTGTTACTCCTTAGCAGACCCTGAATTTGAAAACGCATATTCATTATTATAAGGTATCATCTATAGATACCTAGATAATATTGTATTGTATACACCAAAAATACAGAGACAGCAAAACATACAAATATACTCAAGTGTCACAATCGGACGTCTTAACACTAAAAAATGATCTCTTCCAGACAACCTTTGGATGAAAAGATGAATTTTATTAAAAATAAGTGATATTGAAAATTGATAAATGTTAGAAACTCCTCACATTATAGTCAGATAACAAGAAAATTTTACAACATTCGGAATGGGTTTCAACCAAATAAAAATATTTATTGACGCTTTAAGCTACGGAATACACCGAGTCTGCCTTCGATGATAGTACTTCGCTATTTTGTCTTGTTTATACTCCAGTATTACCTATGATATACTTGCCTGGAATATTTTCGATATATCCCGCAAATTAAACAGGTAGTGCATCTTGCTTGGTGTCGGCAAAAGCTTAGCCACAATAGTGTTGAATGTATCGATAGTCGCCAATAATACTGTTTTACCTGAATCACAACATGTTATTTAGCCAATTCTAATTCTTCATCTACATTCGGATTAAAACTTGAAAATATACACATAAATCTAGTAAATGGTAAAGAACTACTAGAAATTGAGATAATGAGTAGACTTACGCCTATGCTAACATACGAGGGTGGGTCAAAAAGTTCGCGGAATGGAGGGTAAAAAGTAAGAAATAATAATAAGTAAGAATTCTCTTTATCGCGACAATACTCAACTCGCCGCTGCTTGTGGTGTGGCGTGAGCATTCTCGGCACCCACTTGCACATACCTTTGTCATGCCAATATGGTCGTGTATGATATTCAAAACGGTTGTAGCTGATACTTCAATCATTTCTGCAAGCTGTTTCTTCTTTAAACGGGCATTTTCCAATATGATTTTTTCAAGTTTTTCGGCGTTTTTTGCCGTGGTTGCCTCGACAGGCCGCCCTGGCCTCGGATCATCTTCAATCGAATCCCTGCCTTGCTTAAACAGGTTGTGCCACTTGTTAACTTTGGTTTTATCAGGGCAAGAGTCTCCGTAAATAGAAGACGTCTCTTCCAAAATAGTCTGGAGAGGTTTTCCTTGTTTGGTAAGGAACTTGATGACTGCGCGAAACTCTATTTTCTCCATGTTTTCTTTTCAAATTACAAACTTTCTTCCGGATTGACTTGTTGATTGATGTGTAGCTAAGGCAATTATGACCAATTTTTTTTTAAACTTAGTATTTATAGTCTTAATGAGTGTCACAACTAGTGCAGGTAGTAAAGTCACCTTACGCGAACTTTTTGACCCACCCTCGTATGTTATAAAAATAAATAATTAGTTACATAAAAACTACTCTTTCATATCTTATGAAATATAGATTACCGACAGTCTTAGTTTCTTCGTCAAAATCACTCAAGTGCTGACTGAGCATGGTGCCAAATATCTTGATTAATTGCTGCTGCGTAGGCGCAGTGAGGTAGAAAGCGTGGAAACATGACAGCAGGCGGGGAGGTAACGGGGACCGGGCCCCACCCGGGGGCCCTGCGGCGCCGCAAAGAACCATACCCTAAATAGACAGGGAGCTGTTTAGAAAATCGACATATAGAGCAGTGTTATATTTCAAGTCATGTTTAATTGTAATTAAAATAACAAGAGATTTTCCCGAAAGATTTTACTATCAAGAATCAAACTATAATTTTCTTTGCCTTTACCATCCAAAGGGTCTTATTTTTCTGAGGAACCTATGAAATAATAATGTATAGAATAGTGGTACATATTAAATAGTAAGAAAAATTCCCAATTTACCTTGACATTCTTTCGCCATTGTTTAGCACGATCGAACCAGTAACCATAGTCGTTCCATAAACGGATCAGTTCTAGAGGCGGCTGCGAGCCGTAATTGTCACGTACCGGCATATTGATGTCGTCCATGAACGCTATCATCTTCTTGCCTTTATTTTAAAAATATAATATATTGTCGTCAAATAATTATTTAGCTCCATTCTCACCAATTTATGACTCCATTGCAGGGTGGAACCCCAGTGCATACTGTCTAACACAAGCCCGGATTAACGATTATTTCCAACCGGGGCAGAAACTTGGTGTTGCAAATACCTTCCCTTGCCACCCCCCCAGATCCAGCCCCGTGCTAACAACAACTGTTTAATCAGCCTTCCGAAGAAGAATTATTCAAAAGAATTATCTAACTCATGACGAAAGATTTTAAATAGAATGAAATCGATAACTAATAGCATTTCAACTCTATATCTGAAAGACGGACTATATCTGTAACTTCAAAAATTCTGGACAGAATACGAAAATAGTACCTATAAGACTTATGATTCGTAAGAGTTTTATTAATGCTCCATGCAAAATTTAAATAAAGCGCATTTTGCCTTTATACTCAAGATAGCAAAATCATTACCCCCTGCAGGCACATAATTCCCCTTGGTTCGTTTTTCGAGCCTGGCCTCGATGGTGTCTTGAACGTTTGCCGCCGTGGTTTGAGCTGACATATTTATAACTTGAGTGCTGTACCTGTTATCGAATATTGTAAGCTGTGATCTACTTGTAAGGTCATGTAGGAGTTATAAATTTAAAGATATTTACGAGTATGATAACCAGATCTAACGACTTTATAAACAAACAGCCACTCCTACAATATTGTGGTTACGTTGCAGTTTTTAGTTAGCATTTTCTATACCTACTTATAAGGGAGCATTCTAATTCTTCATTTTTGAACTACACAGGCTAGTAAAAGACTATCTAAATCGAGGGAAATCTGTTAGTTAGGATGTCAGTTTTTTATTCAAATTTAATTTAAGACAAAAACAATATTAATAAAAAGATGACAATGAATGAATTTGTCTTTCTGTGCAAGTATGGTTTTTCTTTTTAACAATAAATTTGTGAAACTTTGCAATTGACTTAAGTTATTATCACATCAAATTATTATAGAATTAATTTATAAATAAGCTGTGGAGTTTAAAAAGTTTAAATAGTTAAAAAAAAATTTAAGGTAAGCAATCAATGTTACCTAGCAGGATCAAGGTTGGAGAGAGTGCCTTGTATCAGGAACGTTTTGCCGGTTCCAGTAGGTCCACCAACCAGTACGCCAAAACCCGCTTTTAACATATCCAGTGCAACTATCTGTACCCTAATGAATTCCACCGTCGGCACAAGGATATTGTGGAACCCTAGACTGGTGGAGATAAAATAACATTGAAATAATAATAATCTACTTTAAAATTTCGACATGTGCTATACAGTCGTGTTTCAATATTTTTATAACTTAGTTAATTTCTGCGTAGATCGCTCTTCAAGCTAATAATTAAGTATCGTTAATCATTTTTACGTTTTTTTTCTACAAATAGTATAATAACCAACTAATAACAGATTCCAGTGGTGATACTGTCTTACTTAGGATTGTACTTCCAATTGTCCGGTAGTTTGTCCTCCCAAGGCTTAAATTGACGCAATCGTTCATCCACATAATAATCGTAGACAGTGTCCTTCAGAGGGAACACGCCTTCATGTTCACGGACCCAATTGTCCAAACGCCGACGAGGCTCTTCTTCGAGAGTGGCACATATTGACCAGATCATACTGCATTAAAAAATTTTGTTCAAATGTCTACTTATCAAATATTAGAAACCATATGTGTATTGTATTTTTTATGAAAACGAAAAATATGTACTTACGAAAAAAGAAACCGCATCTTAGAAAAGGTTTCGTTATCTTCTTCCTCAGGACCCGGAGGGCCCGGAGCTGGCCACTGTCCTAATAGACGGCACATAGAACGAACACCTGTTAGCTCTTGTCCTCGAACGCTTTGTCCTTCTACGAGGTGCAAACGTTTCAATTCCAACACTGGCGTTAAGATGTTCAAGAAATGACGACGGAGCTGTATGTTAAGAAGAAATAAATTAATTACTTAAGCCAGCGTTTTTCAAAGATCAATAAACCTACATACTTTATCCATTGATTATATAACATTAACATACCATCTCTCTGTACTCAAGATCATCGACGGTTTCCAACCATGAATTAACAAAGGGCCACCAGCCCCAATCTTTGTAGTCATTATATACCATGCCATTGCGAGAAACTGTAGCTGGCGATGCCACAGCCAAGTCCAAGGTCTCAATGAGCAAAGACACCTAGTACGAAAATAATTCGATTAATGAATTCGATTTTTTTCCACCATTGTTATTATACCCTTTTAAATTACCTGCGATGGCATAGAAATCCTTTCGCTGTTCACCAAAGTCAACAATTTATTGTCATCCATTACAGAGTTTAGATTCTCAATCCAAATAGCATCTACTGGACCATCGAATATAATCCACTTTTGATCTGGTGATTCGTCTGAATGAACAAATCTGGCTTATATTATTGCAGATAGTTAAGTGTAGAAGATAGACAAATTAAATACATAAAGTTACAAATTTTCGCATTTTTAATCTTAACTTCATCCGTGTCGATTCAGAATGTATATATGATGTTATAAAGAATGATCTAACCAACAACATTTACATCTTATATATGAATAGTTTGTAGCTTGGATATTCCATTTCAAGTCAAAAGCCAATTGTTGGAACATGAAAGAGTACAGACAGTAAATTTTGCCTTTATAATAAACCAATCAAAAGAACAATTTTAAGACCTTGACAAGTGGTTCGCATAATTGAAGACAACACGCCGTCTTTCCATTCTCCTGTAGCAAGATTATATTCTCCGTATAATTCGCCCAGGGTCAACGCTTTAGGATTCATTGCGTGGATTTGAACGAGCTCGAATCCTGGCACTTTTTCTCGATGCAAACGGCTCAAGGTTGCAGCTAGCATCTTCCAAGAGACTGATTTAGCCGTATTTGTGTCTCCGAGGAGAATACTCGAATGACGGGAGTTCTATACATCATACAAGATACTTTTAACTTAATAATGCAGTAAAGTAGTTACAAATCCAGTATTCAATAACAATCAATTTAAAAAATGTATAGATTAAATCATCAAACAAAATCAAACTCAACATCTCAGAAGATATATTTGAGGAAATTGTATTGCAAATATGCTTTATTTTTACTTCAGTGCGTCAATATTACAGAATAAGATTAAAAATTATAATTGTAACAATACCTTTGTTTCAAACGTCTGTATAACTTTTAAAAGTGCAGCTCTAGTAGGCTGTAACCCAACTAATCTCATTTCAGCCGATATCGCAGTTTCCAACATTTCATAGTCCAATGTTGGTACTTCCACCTCAGGGAAAATATCTTGCATGATCCCATCAAATAGTGGCACATCTTTAGCCGTCAGACGAGCTACATTCATATCTCGCATGGCCAAGATTACCATCTGGAATAATATTTACCTCTAGCATTAAGCAAATTCTGTTACAAAGGAATTATCATCCAAAATTGGCCTCTGGTTTTCCTTTTAAACTCATGATATCAGTGACGAACTCTCAATCAAAAGACTTGCTTCGACTATATATAAAAATATTATATAAAAACGTCAATTATATAAAAATAATTTTATCTAACTAAATAGAATTTAATCTGGCACCGCTTAAAATTTTCCAATTTTGTTTGCGCTAGAATTAGTCTTCAACATAAATTTACCAACCTCTTGTTCAGGCAAGTGGGGATAAGCGCGTCTTTTCACACCGGCGTATCGCAGCAACGCAACCATGGACCGAAGACCAAAGTCATAGTGATCCTGCTTTGATAACTGTTGGGTCGCCAGTTGATATAAAGTAAATACCTAAAATGTTTATGAACAGATAGTTTACTTACTAACTGATCGTTTTAAAATATTTCAATTATTTTGCAGTCCTATCTCGGGTAATATGGACTGGTAATTTTTTTTATGTAAGCTGAACCATGTATAATGTTATATCACAGAGCCATGACATTTCAACAAAACAACGTACCTTTTTAGCATTAATCTTATAAGCAGTAAAACCATCGGAGAATAAAGTATTTTCGGCTATGATCAAGCAATCCGGAACGCACATGGCTATAGGTCGAAACATCGACTTCAAATTGTCCGGTAATTCTGTTCGCCCGGCGTAACTAAATCAATAATGTGGTAATAAATCATAACGATCAAAGAACTTTTATCAAAACTAGTAACGGAATAGTGTATTTGGTTAAAGGTATCGTACCCAGGATTCATTGTGATGAATATTCCACAGTTACTATCCAACTTGATCTCGCATCCTTCAAACGTAAACTTCTTCTGTAAGAGCGAGAGTGCCAATAAGACAGCCAGGATTTGTTGCGCGACCACTGACAGCACTTCTATGTTGATGCGATTAAATTCGTCGAAGCAGCCCCAACAACCACTCTGTGCTATGCCTAATGAATATATTATACATTTACGAAATAATCAACCCTTTTCCCACTCCCTACATTATAACATCATCCGCAAAATACAATTTTAATCAAGTAGTTTAATTTACCAGCGAAGCATTTTGCCATAGACTTGTAATCGAGCCCGTCGGAGCAGTTAGTGACGACCACCCATCTGGCGAGCGCTCGACCGAGGTCTTTAGTGGTCTCGGTTTTTCCAGTACCCGCGGGTCCTTGGGGACTGCCTCCTCGAAAAAGGTGTAGGGCCGTTGTCAGGGTAATGTAGCATCTAATATGAATAACTCATTTATTATTTTAGGAATTCTCTGGGTATTAGTTTCAATTATCTACTGTAGTCAACTGTATCAATTTATGCATTTATATACAAAGGCGAACTTAATGCCTAGGAAATTTCTAACCGGCACCAGTATTGGGATAATATGACAATTTCAGTCAAGTAAATGGCTAATAGAATTAGAAAGCATTAAACTATTGATTTTATATAAAATACCATTTACCGATCTGTAAGAGGTGTGATGACAAGTCGACCAGAATTACCGATATACTCATACGTATATATAGAGTTTGTATTTGTCTGTTTGATGTAACAATCTTCTCGCTCACGGTCCCAGTAAAACTTCAACTGGGAGAACCACTCGAATGCACTTACATGCATGCACCCTAAATAGAATGATAATTACACATCATTTGTTGTTGTGTACCTTTTATAGTAAACGAACGGTCTAAGTCCCTAAGGTACTGCTTATATTAACTTTTACTGTATATTGTAAATTAATAAATTATCTATGCATTATTATATTAGTTTTCATAAAACATAAACGTGAAATAGAAGGTTTTTACAAATAACTACTAAATCTATTAATTACGATCTACATAGGAAATAACAGGAGGGTAGTAGTTAATTATAAAAGTGGACAAAATAGTGACAATTTTAAACGGTTTCTTTTATATACGTGACTAGCCCGATCCTATAAAGGATCTTAGAAGATTAAATTACCTAAAGTACAGTCAACTAGTAGTGATACGAAAGGTCATTAACCCGAAAAACGACTGTGGAGTTGACAATCTATTAATTATCTCTTTTCATCTTGTATATTTGTCGCAATGTCTCGTTCTCCCGGCAAAAATATGTCAAGGTCAAGACGGGTTCGCCAACATTCAGGCGACCATTTTAAATAATAGTGATTCATTAATTTTCATTTTTGTCCTCACTACCATAGATTTTATTCTCGACATTTAATCTCATTCTTGATAACTACATTAATAGAATAATTCAAACTATAATTAATAAAAAATAGCAGGAGCTTAGCCACAAGTCAAGTCAACGGTCTTGAGATACCTCTTTGCCATGCCTATCGTTTTGAGTATTATTATTCGAATTTCAACTCATTGTATTTTATTGATAGATTTTTAGAATGACAATTACATAAAGTAACTCAATGCTAATAAAATAAATAGATTTCAAAAAGTTACACAACCCTGCATTTCCTAATGACACTGTATTGGTTTTGTTTACATTTGGTATCGCTTCTCGTTGGCCGTACTTTATGTTAAAAGACAAAAATATAGATATATTTTTCAGGTGATAATGCACTTTCTACTTGTTATATTTAATGGTTACCATCACAAGATATCACATAGTTTATTTTTTCTAAACCTATTTGATCTAAGCTTTTAATGTAAAAATTGAGTGTGAATATAGTTTTGATAATGATATAGTGTGTAGAGTAGCTCGGTGGCATAGTGGTTAAGCGCCGCGGCCCGCGATCGTTGTTGTTAAGTAGCATTCGCAAGGGTCAGTCACGGAATGGGTGACCAAAAAAATATCTCGATATACTAAGTGTTTCAGAATGCACGATAAGCCGTTGATACAATCCGCATTTGATCAGTGTGGAGGGTCATGGCCCATACTTTTTAAAAGTCCACAATGAAATCCTGAGCCCAGTGAGTAGGGCTGATGATGACGATGATAAAGAAACTTTGTCAATTCTCACCCATTTTATACATCCTATCGACAGTATCCCTCGAGTGTATCTCGATCACGCACAAGGCGTTGACTTTACACCGCAGAATTTTGCCGATCTCCTTGCGGGACATCATCTGGAGAGTGGCCAATATTTGGTTTTGTTTCTTTCGCAGTTTCTTCAGAGGTTTCTTCTCTTGCATAATATCGCAACGGCAAAGAGTGCGGGTGCAATCAGATGTCCACTGAATCTATATCGATCAAAAATAAGTACTACTACGTCCGTCTACCTGCGTCTCTACTGCTTTTGAATTTCATACGTACAACTACAAAATTACCCAGTTCAAAGACATCACCGAGCGACTTACGGGTAATTTAAAGGAAACATGTCGACTATAGGTGACTTAACTCTTTTATTTTTTAAGTTTTCAAACTCAATGGTTAATTGGGGTTTAAGTCGGGACATTTGATTTAAATTGTTTTAAATTTAAGATATCAGATTTTCCTAACACAAAAGCCTACCTATAAATAGCTACCTATTATGAGATCAGAGTGTTTAGTAATTTGTACTGTCTTGTCATTGCCGTTTTTACTTTCAACTTTAGTAAGGAAACCGGCACAGCGGCAACTATCAAGACCTACAAATATCCATACAAATACTTAATACCTCACACTTACCGCTCTGAGCAATATATGTGGTCCCTAATCTTTGGAGAAGACTAAGGATTGGAGAGTTAAAGAACTATTTTACACACGACTTTTTTATACACCTATTACTAATACTGGAGTAATAGTACCTTACTGCAGGTGATGCCCAGCTGTCCCGGAAAATCATTAATCCACTGTTCTCTTTGATATTTGCACTTTCTTAAAGCAGCCCGAGTCAAAATCAGTTGCTATTGAAATTAATTAGGAACAAAAAATTAATTGTAATACATAGACGTGAAAAAAAAAAAAACTGGGAAGCAGTGTGTCGGGGTACAGTTCATGAATGGCCATAGAAATAGTTTTTAATCATATAAGGGCAAATCAACTTGGGCGTATAATTTCAGGTTATTATGAGCATAATGCAATACGTACACTGCACTAGCAAACGATGCAGATAGGACTAACGGCTTAACGTATACCATCCAAACAGCCAGAGATAATAAAATTTTAACCAGCAATGCGGCAAATACTAGCGAGTATTCTTAACAAGTGCGTCAGAAAGATCTAGGCAGCTGCTTTCTACCCAGACATTGGGTTTATTTTTACTAGGTATCTACACAAGGTACAAGGGAAGATGAGTTTGCTTTCCATTCCTGAATGAAACTTTACAAATTGAATTTCAACTCGTTCTTGCATTTGCAATCACAATGACTTTTTTTTTGCAATTTGCAATCACTATAGGTATTTTTTCATTTTCGTTTTTCCTCCACAGTACCAACTTGAACCCTTGATGGGTGGGACTTCTAAAATGTCTGAAAAAGTACTACCTCTCTGAGAACCACTCTCATGGTATGCTCCAAGCCCAACAACCACACTTCCGCCGGCCCATCCAAAATTAAATTATATTTCCATTCAATGCATTCACCATCTTCAGACATCATTGCCTTCGCTACAGGTAAACCAAGAGCATTCTAAAAGAATTGCGAAAGTGATTAGTCGTTTTAAAACTTTAATTGGCCAGACATTTTGATTTCTTTTATTTAGAACACAAACTAAAATTTAATAAAATAATCATTACAAAATGTGTGAAAGGCTTGGGTCCAGTTAAAGAAAAATAACAGTATCTATAACTTTTTGTTTTTATACAACTCTCATTTAAAGAAAATTAACGTATCTGTTGGTTACAAAATTATAGAGTCAATACGTTGGGGGAAAATATGTTGTGCAATTGAAGGTCAAAGAACATTATTAACAAATATATGACATTTGACCTTGCACACTCGACAAATGATCCGTTGTGTATGTCAGATTTACAACTACCCTTATGTAAAGATCCTCAACTTTTCAAAAGTCATCTTAGGCAATATAGTGACAATTCACAAATTTATTTGCAAATATCTTTTGTAGTGATTAAAATTTGAAAAACAGACATATAAACACACACAATGGACTGTTAAGGCCACAATGTTACTAATGATAATGAAATTTAATAATGAATTCCCAATAGGGCACTACAATTAATTGCACTTTGCAAGTGTTTTATCTGCCTGAAGCCCAATATACTAGTAATTATTGCAAAACAAATAATAAAGTCAAACACAGAGTACTATTGACAAAATATATTAGTTGTTTTAGTTTCAATGTAGATTATGGAATTCAGTGCCTATTTAATATTTAGGAACATTAATATCACAATTGAGCTTAAATACAAATATAACATTTTTATTCATTCAAATATAGTCTCTGAAACGGATACAACTTGAGCTGCTCAACAATCTTCTCAGGTAATGTTAAGATCAGTTTCATGAGTGCCTTCTTCTCCTCAGCAGTACGACATGAACAGACCATGTGAATGTACTCCTGCAGAGTACCCTGGGACTGAGCAGCAGGATAGAACATCATCAATATTGCCAATGCCTTAAAAAAAACAAAAAATATTGAAAGTTGTGGAATCAAACCACCAGTATCACCATCAATCTATTAATGGCAGTATTTTATGACTATAAGTTGAAACAATATCCTTGGAAATTATGACATTTATTGGAAAATATGACATAAATTACTCGTTTAAGTATAATTGCATTGAAATATTTTAAATAAGCAGTTTAAGCCATCAATCCTTAGCTTTATTATTAAACTATCAAATCAATATGATGACCACCCAGGGACTGATGGCATAAAAGTTACTAGAACAATACGAAACACAAGTAGAAAACATATTATATTTGAAAATAGAAATAACTTACTCTTATATAGTGTGTTTGCCCGTGCAGTCTATTAGCACTCTGTTGCCATATCGGCGACTTTTTTAATAAGTACAGTAACTTGTTCCAGTCATGAGAATAAATAGCTCTTGTAAGAGCGATGTGGAATTTGTCCTTCAATGCAGTTTGTTTAGTTTGTTTGGCATATAAGCCTAAAGTAGCATTCTTCTGTAACTGAAGTAGTTTTCTTTTACAGTTGTCACGAGATTGCTCTCTTGGAGTATTTATATATTCAATCGCAGTTTGCTGAAAAAGATTAGCAAGTATATTATTATTATTATTGTTTATCGGTTTGTCATTAATAAAACCGTGAAACTTTTGAATATAAATTGTACAAAAAATAACTTAGAACTTACAATTGCGCTCAGAGGAACAAACTGGCAATTATTAGCGATATCCTCAGGATCCATTATTATCTACGCAAAAACTGGATGAACAAGGAACACTAGGACTTCCATATAGTCTTAGTCAGTATTATCAACAACGTTTATGCACCATTCGTACCGTGTTTGTACTTAGATATTCCGCGGTGGACATACAAACATAAATCTTAAAAAATTGACAAATAGCAGCTGTCACGCACTCACTGTCAAATTTTTTTTTTTATAGTTTATTCTTGTAGTAGGGGAGCCCACGATGCTAAATCGGGATTTACTCGAGCGTCATAGAGACCTATTGGGTTGCGAAGCTTAGATGATAACAAAAAAAAAAAAATCATATAATATATACCTTTTCATCGGTGGGGGAAGCGGCTATAGATTTTTAAAAATGTAAAAAAAAACTGTTGTATGGACATACTCGAGTGCGTCAGATATTAATATCATCCATGTCCTACGCATTTTTAAAAACTGTCGTATGTTAATCTGATCGTTTCCATGATGGTGGTGGTTAAGTAAGGGTTGAAAATGAAAAATTAAAAATTTAATCGAGCGCGATAGATTTTTTGAGGGGAAGTCAAGTGAACCTAAAAAAAGCTCTTATATAATAATCTGACGATTTGGATGTGACGCAAACGCGTGACCATTATTAGAATGTGCAAAAAAAAATCGCCATTTTGAAATACTCAAGCGCATCAGATTAAGATATATATGGTTCATCTTTATGCCTCAGACGTGATATCTCATAATCTGATGATTATCTGAAGGGATTTACTTAATTTGACAATTAAAAACTTTTTTTTATTTTTTTCAAATCATTGAGCTTAATTAAATAGAAAAGCACCGGAGTTAGCATGCAAATAAAAAAATGTATGTTTTTTTTATGTAGAATACTTATATTTATAAGAAAATGATTATATGAAAATTAAATTTTTACAGTATTTTTTATTAATTATCATCTTCATCGCTAGAATCATCTTCCTCTTCTTCTCTTAGTAAATATGTAAAAAGTTTAATTCACAAAATTTACATTTAAATAATAAAATAAGCAAAAACGTTGGAAATACGATGTAAACAATATCATGCCACGAACGAGTCTGTGACATCAGCTGTCATGGCGTCATGACAACCGAAACCAGAGTGGGGACGGAGTGAGAGAGAGATAGAAAAAGAGTGAGAGAGAAATAGTGATGCGGAGAAGGAAATATAGGTATCACGTAGCTGCACGCATTAAATTTTATCGATGAATTTTTATTACGTCGGCTTGTGAAAATCATCAGATTATATATTTTTCGTAATCCTTGAATGATGCCTTCAAAATAAAATAAAAAATAGCCACGCTCGAGAATGTCAAAGTGACGTTTTTTTTACAACTTTATGGCCTTCCCCTTTCTTTACGTCACTCTCAAATTGTCAGATTAGAGGTATTTACACATTTTAGCATGTAACTAGCTAACCTTACTTTAATCTGACGCGCTTGAGATTTTCAGATAATCATTTTTTTTTACTAATCTGATCCTTCGTCCTTGCCGGGCGGCCATTTTTATAGGGCTCATACTTGGTCCAGGTACTTAACTGGGTACATGGTATCCCCCTGTATCTGCCGCGCTTTAATAAATCTCGAAATCCCCGCTTGGGCTCCCCTACTACGAGGGTCAAACTGAAAGTTCTTAGAAAATCAAAAACTGATTACATTAGCCAGTTATTAGTTTTATTATATCTTTTCAAAATATTGTCCATTCACGTCAATACACCGCTGCATGCGATGGAACCACTGGGAAAAGCACTTTGCCCACTCGTCCTTAGGGGTCTCTTCAATGGCATCGCGATACGCAGCCACCGCTTCTTCAGCATTCATAAACCGCTTTCCTTTAAGTTTTTCTTTAATTTTTGGAAATAAATAAAAATCACAAGGCGCGAGGTCGGGGCTATACGGCGGGTGACCCAGTAATTCAACGTTTGATGTCGCCAAATAGTCGATCGTTCGCTTGGCGGTGTGCGACGAGGCGTTGTCCTGGTGAAGGAGGATCCTACTGCGAGGTCGTTTCTCTCGAACTTTTTCCAAGACAAGTGGCAAACAATTGGTAGTGTACCATTCTGCAGAAACTGTTTTTTGATCCTCTAACACAATTGTTGCAAAATGACCTATCCTTCCAAAGAACGAGGCCACCATTTTTTTTCCCGCACTTCGATCTCTCTTCACTTTAGTTGGCAACTCCTCGAAAGGAAACACCCACTGAGCAGATTGTCTTTTGGTTTTAGGATCATAACAGTAAATCCAGCTTTCGTCACCTGTTAGTATGTCGAACACAGCATTTGAGTCACCTCCGTTAAATCTTTCAATCATTTTACGACACCAATCCACACGATGGAGTTTTTGAGCCTCAGTCAAATTATGAGGTATCCACCGGGCGCAAAGCTTCCTGACCGCTAAATGTTCGTGGAGGATTTTGTGCACTTGACTCATACCGATGCCTAAGCTTGTCCGAATCTGTTGATAGGTCACTCTTTTGTCAGTCTCTATCATACGCCGCACAACACAGATGTTATCTTCAGTCGTCGCCGTAGAAGGCCGTCCCTCACGTAAATCATCAGTGAGATTAGTGCGACCACGTTTAAACTCATTAAACCAGTTGTAAACAGTCGCACGAGATGGGGCTTCATCGTGAAAGGCCAATCGTAGTCTATCATAACTTTCTTGTTGACTTAAATGACATCGAAAGTCATAAAAAATCATTGCACGAAAATTTTCTCGTGTTAAATTCATGATGACGTGACACAGACAATTTTCAATTTGCCGCCAAATCGTAAAACAAATGACAAATGAATGAAATATATACTCAGTAATATTGGCAAAGAGTTATATTTTCAAATTTTAGAATTATTTTTTTATTATATTGTTTATAAGTGGCCAGTTCTAAGAACTTTCAGTTTGACCCTCGTATAGACTTGGATGCTTCTCTTTTAGCTGAATCAAATTGTTTGAAGCTCTAGAGTTGCCAACTTATATTACTAATAGAAAAAATATATAAAATAAAAATTAGTTATTGAAATCAAACTAGATGTCACTAGCGATGTTTAGATATTGTTTATGATTTCATTCTTGTTTCTGACGTAATAAAAGTAAATTGAGTATCAAAAATTATTAAATATGACATCGTTTGGAATTTCTTATAATATCTTACTTTCAAATTAATTTTATTTTATTTGAATCGTAAGTTTAAATAATATTTATTATGTTACGTGTAAAGGTACTATATTTGGTTAACATGTCAACATTAGTGATGAGTCAACTTATTGGTTGCTCGTAACTTCAATTGATTCGATTCAATCGAATTCATGTTTGGAATCAAGAACAAAAAGCGGAACGCTGAATTCAGCTTGCTTTTTTTTATGTGCAGTATTTCCGTATTATGCATCAAATTCAATTCAGTCTAGTCTAATACTTGTGGAAATCGAAAACTTTGCCAACGGTTCGCAAAACTAAGGTGGGAGATCTTGTACGTAGAAGAACCGACAAGAACTGAGCAAGGGCTGTTTTATTCTCCTTGTTTTATTTCACACAGAGAAGTTTTATTGGAATGTGACTTAATTAGACACTTTCCATTACAATATCAGAAATCCTACATACTCATTGACAAATCAATATATAATATTCATAATAAAAGAAAATGGATAAAATTAAGTAGTTCCTACTATTTTAAAAGGCAACTGATTCATAGACATAATATTGTAGCAGCGTTTAGTTTGTATAGTATAAAATATATTTATTATATTTAGAAAGGTTTCTTGGTCAAAATAAAACATATAATTGCTTTATGACAATAATAAAAAAATATGACAGTAAATATATTTTAATAAGAAAGATATTTGCAATCGTACCGTTGTCGTAACTTGGAAAAACAAAAATTATTATTATTACATTATAATTACTACATAACAAGGTTACTTGGAACTTGATACTGAAAGATGTCAAATGTGGCCTATTATTATGACCCAGTTGTATGGATTTAGAATTTTCCGTGAGTTTTGATAATCTATATGATAATCTAAATATAAAAAGCATAAATCGGTTGAAAACATTCGTGTGTTATAAATGTTTATTGTTGCAAATATGGCGTGTTTTTTTCTGCTAGTGAGCATAAAATTTTTAATATTTTGAAAGAGCGAGAGTAAATCTTCGATGTAAGAGTCGATTTTATCTGACGGAAGTTACGTCGCGTGTCGTTAGAGCTGATAAACATATGACAATTAATACTTGCACAATCGACAAATGAACTATTACACACTTTCGTGAGATTCTTTATGGCTCTTCCGTCAGATATGCACTAACACATATCGAATATTTCTAATTATGTTAAGAAATTGTAAAATTTCATAATTAAAAACACTGCAAAATCCAATTAAAAATGGAAGAAACAAGTTGTATTATATCTTGGCTCAACAAAATTCTCATTGTTGACCACACATTCTTGTCCCATTCTTGTCCAAGTTTTTTAATAGTTGGGGTAGAATAAAGAAGTTCTCATATACATATATATAATTAATCCTAAATACACTCCTTTTTTGTAATTATGCAAAAAAAAGAGTTTATAGCACTCTAGTGGCTTATTTTTTAATATGGCGATCAGGTTGGTTCTTTAAAAATGAATAAAAAAATAGCATTTACTAATTTATTATTGGAATGGTGGAGTAAAAAGTTGGTAAAATCGTCTTACAAAGTAAATGGATGGTGCCTAAGTAGATTTGGTCATTTATACAAATATTTGAAATTGAAGTGTCTGTATGTAATATTAAAATAATCATTTTAACTAAATATGTATGTATACACGGTAAATATATCAAAATATAATTTATTTCCTAAAAATCACATAATATATGTTCACCCGGTCTCTATAAAAAATAAACAGCGCGATTAAGGGAATCGAACACGTAAATTTAAGTTTTCTGACGGAACTATGCTTTTGAATGCGGCAGATTATCCTTAGAGTGTGCCGGTTGAATGTCATATCACATATTTGTCGGTTTTGATGTTCTGCGACCGATAACGGGCGCAACTACTGTCATATATGCTCTGACTCGTGAAAAATTATCAATGAAAGCTGAATAATAAAAAAGTACTTTTTTACTACGTTTGAAGTATAATATTGAATGTTACCTTGTCAATTCTTATTTTATTAACGTTATCAAATAACTTCTTCAAATGAACTTGTATAAGTTGAGGCTTTTTTGAATTACCAAGAATTTCTAATAAATCATCATTTGATATAAAGTAAAATCTTGGAAATAATTGTCGTTTCGTTTCTAAGTATTTTTCTAGTTGTCTCAATATCCCATCAAGATTGTCGACCATTTTGTTCAATTTATTGAAGAGATAAGGTGCTGGTTGATAGAGGCAAGCTTCTATTGCATTTTTTCCCGCATGCATACTAAAATCATAGATTGAAATTTTTCATTGCAGTATTATATTATATCAAAGTGCAATAAAAAATTCACGATTAAAATATAAAATAAATACAGTCGAAAATTGGAGACTTTTATATTTTTATAAGATCTTTGTAATAAAATCAATTTAAGTTCTACTACTCAATAACCAATTCTAACTTACTTAAAAGTAATGTCAGTCCAATCAGCAGTTAAGTTATCAAATATTTTAACTTCATTTGGCAGTTGTTTTCTAATATCTTCACCACTGAATATATTTTCTAAATACAAATATCGACGTTGCACTTGTAGAGAAATCTATGAAAAACATTAACTTAAAAAGATATTTATTTTAAATTCATTTTCTATATAATAATATATACCTCTATACACTCTGCAACATATCCCAGGGATTTTTCCCAATAATCTACTTCTTTTATAAATGGTTCAACATACTTTGTAGATTTCATTGATGATAATTGAACTTGATGATCTTCCAAAAACTGTGATGTAGAAATGTTATTAATAAGTATAGTTGCTAATGTTCGTAAGTTTAACCTCTTATATACAAGTATCTTCCGTTACCTGCATTACATCTTCAACATTCTTTATTTTATACATGTCTCCTTTATGATGTGTCATTTCGTAAGTTGTATTTGCCCACACTTCTCTAATAACTTTAAGTCCGTTTTCTATATTTAACTCCATTGTAGCTGCGTTAGATATTTCAGCTATATCTTCAGCATAAGCTTGGAAGTTCAGACGCATTATCAGTTCAAGTTTGAAATCATCAGAATTTTGATCAAATTCTCTGTTAGAATAATGTTAGTTTATATGAATTGATAGACTAAAATACAAACCAACTTGTATATTTTATTAATCTTAAAAAATATAAAACTAAAAACTAACACTCCCATAAGAATTTTAATTCTATCCCAATGACGTTCTCTCATGCATGGATTTTTTAAGTCTGCAATGAGCGGTAGAGTTCTCCTGAATGCGTCAACTTTCACTCTAGTAGTATCAATTATATCCCATCCTTTATCTTTCAGTTGACGAGAGAGACGATTGAAATTCCTAAGACGATATTTAGAATTAACAGACAATCTTATAATGTACGATCTAATTATTAATGTTAAACATCGCTTAAATTTGGTGACATACCTAAACAAAAACATAACATTTTCTTCCATTTCGTCAGTTTCCATCTCCCAGAAAGTTTGGGTTTTATATTTTTCCCATGATTCCTCCCATTGAAATACTAAGCCCCATACTTCCTCCAATTTTTCTAGTTCCTTCTCCATTTTTTGTAGCTCTAGATTCACTGGAGTCCTTTAATTGAAATGTGGAGAGTTAGTGTATTATCTGTTTCATCATGACTTTACTTAAATACGATTCTACATATTTTTAAACTATATTCATTATCTAGAATTTGGTATAAAAGTATTTCAAAAATTACCGTATAGAAATTTAGTAAATTGATTAAAACTTATTTACCTTACTAAAATCTACTTAAAAACTTTTTTCCCGCCATTATTCTATGCTTTTTGTTTAGAAATTATTTGTTTTGAAAATGGAGTGGGGCACTTAAGAGAGTAGAATTGCAGTAATTGCACTGTGCAAATAAGGTAGGATACATTGAAAAAGCTAGGGATAAGCCGAATGTTTGAGTATCGTACCATCCAAAGGTGCACTGAAACCATGTCTGTTGATGACTGTGAGAGATTCGCGGTCTATTCGAACAAACCAGGCTGTTAATGCAGTCAAGGCCAGAATTCGTCGAAATCCCATAAGGAAGCAGAAAATCCTTTCCAGAGAAATGAGAATCTCACCGAGGACACCTTCTCGGATTATCAAACAAGACTTAGGTCTAGGGGCTTACTGGAGATACACAGGATATATCTTAAATCAGGTACTAAAACAAAAGAGCGTCAAAAGATCAAAACTGCTGTTACTTTGATACGCGGATGAAGAACACATAAAAATTCTCTTTACAGATGAAAAAAATTTTACAATCGAGGAGCACTACAACAAACAAAATCGAGTATATGCACACAGCTCTAAATAAGCTTCCGAGGTAGTGGCCAAAGTTCAGCGAGGCCATCATCCAGCATACGTTATGGTTTGGTGGGGTGTCTAAAAGAAGGTTCTTTAAAAGAAGTAAAATCTTCATCCAAAGTGTATCAAAATACCGTGTTGGAAGCGGTAGTTAAACCTCTCAACAACACCTTATTCAGAAAACGAAGTGTGGACATTCCTACTGGATTTGGCATGAGCAAAATGTTCCAGACTTCATAAAGGCTGATGATTGACCTTCGGCTAGTCCGGACTTAAACTCTTTGGACTATAAATTGGGGTCTGTGCTAGAGGACATAACCTGCTCTAAGCGTCGCCCAAATCAAGAGTCGCTCAAGAAATCTTTGAATGCAGCAGTCATCAAGTTTCCAATGGAAGCCGTTCGTCAATCCATCGACGAATGGACCGACCGTTTAAAAGCGTACGTTAAAGCTAAGGCTGGACACTTTGAATAACTAGTTTAAATATATTTTTCACTCTACATAATCACATATAAAACTTTAAAATAAAATTATTTTTTTTAGAAATTATCGGATATTGTCTTTGTAACAGAACTTATGGCTAGGCTAGGTATATTTAAAAATCATCATATTACGTCAGATTAAATACTGCAAGTCCATCTCTTATTTGCTGCTCTTGAGCACGAAGAGCATTAAGTTGTTCTCTAAATGCTTTTAATTGAGCCATGGCGTCTTTACCACTAACATCAGAACTACAGGGAGCTGATTTATAAAAATCTTCACAAAATTCTTTTGCAGCTTCTTTGAAAACCTATTTATATAAAAGTACAAATTGAAAGAATGATGAAGGTATGTATATGTAGCAAGGTGTATTTTTTAATATTATTAGATTTTATGCCATAGAAGGAAATACGACAGGGAAACGAAGAAGACAAAAAATCTACTCAGTCCGTCAGTTGGATGATAGAAAAATATTAGATACGTATTCTTTTTACTTCAATTTAACAAGAAATAAATTAGATAACAGGCATCAAAGTTGAGGAGTGTGGGCTCACTATGTCAGTTTTGTAGAAAATGTACAAAAGCGTGACGTCATGAGATATTTTAGCACTATGTATCGCCGTAATTTAATTATTACGCAAAAAAATAAAATAACTTTTCATCAATCTACCGGACAGGCAAATAAAAAAAAATAGTTGTCAATCCTATTAAAATGTCTATACCAACCTCAGCTTGTTCTAGTAGCTCTGCTTTGAATTTATCCTTGTTCATCTCTAATGCTTTTTTAGCTTCTTCCAAAAGAGTCAAATAATCTGCCCACAGCACAGGTATGTTTTCATGTCTTGTCATCATATCCGAACTCAACTCGACGTCAAACTTTGCTGAAATATTTAGGTAGAGTTATTTTAAATTACCATACACAGTTTTGAAGTTCAGTGCTCTATAGCTTAAAAGTGCTCACCAAGAGTAGTCATCTTGTCTGTCACAGCAGGAAAGGTTTTCTCCATTCTTGGTAAATCATCCATCAATCGTTCGTATGTGGCCATTGTTGACGCAAGTTCTTTCAAATCAGCGGGCATCTGGTAACATTAAAAATCCATGAATAAGTTAACACAAATACAATATATTTAAATTGGAAGAACTTGGAGTCAAACAACGTCTTTCTTCCATCGTACAGAGCCGTAGTCTCGCTTTCTTTGGTAATGTTATACGACGAGGGGATACATCTTTAGAACATTTTGTAGTGCACTGCACTGAACTTAATGGTCCATTCCATGAATGCACAAGGAAGTGCAGTGTGAGAGAAATGGCGAAAGATTGTTTGGCGTGTCACCAACTCTGATGTGATGATGACGACCATTCTGTCAAGCGTGTAGCTACATAGAAAAAATACAACATCAACTAAAGTAAAACTAAGAAATATAGCTAAACCTAAATCGTTATTTGTGCAGACGACCTACCAAAATTTCCGAAGATAGAAAGATACATTTTTGATTTGGATACTACATAAACATTCAAAAGTATGTGTACTGCAGTGATGCAAATGGGCGAAAACTCAGTAGTATTTTCTCAAAGAACAAAGCACTCTATACACAGAATATTGTTACCAGTTTACAAAAATTTAAATGAGTTATTCATAAACTATTTTGAACAAGGTATATTGTCGGTTTTGATAAACGCCCATAGAAAGATGACGAATGCATTTATGCGGCATCGCTCAATGCACTGACCTTTCCCGCTACTCTATTGTACGCTCTCAGAGCTGCGCAACCGTCACTGTTCGTTGAACGGTGTTCGGTAGGTGCACTCGTTGTATGCGATTTCTATTATTTTTATTTTGAGAATATTTAATTTAATTAACTTGATTACTTCCTCACTAAATTTATCTAATTTGCAATAAAACTTATAAAACGGCGGTTTCAATCATCCGTCACTTTTCTACGTTATGAAATTGAATTAAAATTATATTGAATATTTTTTTAGGATTTTTGAAATAAGTTGTAACATATAACGTATTACATATCTGTCATAATCAATGGTATCTTACTGAGTCTTTCTAATTAAGTTTCGAGATTAAATTGTGTATATGGAAGTTTTGAAATTTTTTTTTACTATATCACAGTAATTTATTATGGTAGAGCCTTCGTCACCTTCATTGCGTCTTCACTATTTTTTTCTACATAATTGTAAATCACGTCAATGTCGTACTCCGTGATTCTGCGCAGAAGTTCACCTAATTTTGTTTGCCAAACTAAACAATGGGAGATAATGGCTTTCTTCAGTTGATGTGAGTTCAAAGAAACAAAATGAATCTGAAAAAGTGAGGTTCTTTGTTTATGGTTTTAATTTATTACCTGTATGAATCTATTTATTCAAATGAGGAAGTATTTCAAAAAATAAAGCACTAAAAAAGCACCTCACTAGACGGTGACCCTACCAAAAGTTCATTTTTGCAGGAAACGAATGGACCAAAGCTAGTCATTTCCGTTCCTTTTGACATATTAAAAAACTGAAATTTGCAAAGTTCAAAACTAAGATATTAATACAAATACGAAAAAGTATAAATAGAATATGAGTTTTTTAACGAGTTTTGAAAACTAATTTACTTTTATACATGAAAGAAAACTGGAAAGGTTGTTACGACATCTAGTTTGATTTCGGGAACTAATGTTTTTTTAAATATCGGGTTGGCACAAAAGTAATGAGACACTTGGTTTAAGTTTTTACTTTTTTATTATTATTACAATAAAAAAAGTTTAGTCAATGATGTAATTACCATTAGTATCTAAGACTTCTTGCCAACGATCCGGCAAAGTTTGGATGCCTTTTGCCCAGAACTCTGATGGCTGTGCCTCGAAAAAGTTGTGCAACTCCGCCTCTACGTCAGAGAAATCATTAAATTGTTTACCCCGCAAATGCTGTTTCAGGGCTCTAAACAAATGATAGTCTGATGGGGCGAGGTCTGGGGAATAAGGTGGGTGGGGTATCGTCTCCCAGCCCAAGTTCTCCAACTGCCGGCGAACCACAGATGCGACGTGTGGTCGAGCGTTATCGTGCAGTAAAACTACATTGACTCGTCTTCGTCGTTTTTTCTTTAATTTGGTAAGCTGGGTTGAATATTTGTCAGCGTTTATAGTTTCATTGTGTAATAGCTCATAAAACAGTATGCCTTGCGCATCCCAGAAAGAGCAAAGCAGAATTTTTCGGCGGTTCTTTTGACTCGGCTTCGGTTGAGTTGGTGGCGTTTCTTCTGCGTCGTCGGTGCGTCGAGCCAAAAAGCACGTGTATCGTTCTCGTAATAAATCCATGATTCATCTCCAGTAACCAGATCTGACAAAAACTCTTTGCGTCGGGGTCGCAGCAAAAGTGACTGACAGATAGCGACACGGACTGCACGACTGGCGTCTGTAAGGATGTGCGGTACCCACCGAGCCAAAACTTTTCGATAACCAAGCTCATGCAGATGGTGTTCTACGGCGTGGTGACTGCATTTAAGTGCTTCCCCTAATTCACGAGTGGTAGCATCCGGATTCAACTGCAGTTCGCGGCGCAAATCGTCATCATTCACTGCGGGTGGTCGCCCTGAGCGTGACTGACTTTCAAGGCTCCTGTCTCCTGATTTAAAACGGTCAAACCATCGGGACACCGTCGCATGGCTTGTACTTCCAGCGCCTAATGCATTGTTGATATTGTCAGCCGCAGCCCGCGCACTGTGGCCTAACAAGTACTCGTATAAGCATAGTGTTCGAACTTGTCGCTCGTCCATTTTTCTTCAAACTGACTAAACAAATCGCGAGCGCGGCTTTATATACCCTATACCAGAAGTACCTAGAATGTTCTACAACATTCTAGAATATTATCGAAAAAATTGATTTTAAAAAGGAAATGTTATAGATGTTTCTAGTGTGTCTCATTACTTTTGTGCCAACCCAATACTTCCTCATTGGAATAAAACATTTTTTTTTTGTCTTATACTTATAATAACTAGGCAAAAGTACCTGATTATAAGTTTCTTGTATTTGAACAGCGTTAGCTAAATCACTATAATTGATAATCAATTGTTCAAATTCGATTGCTGTATGATTTTCTTCACGGTATTTAATCATAAACTCGTCTTTATCGACAGTCCAGATATGCGAATAGGGATCCCACATATGTATATGTTCCTTAATTAGTTCTAAATTAAAATATATTTCTAAAAAAAATGGCAAAAGTGAGTTGCAAGCTAATACAGTACCACTCACGAAAAAGTTTGAAGGAATAGGTCATATGTTTAATATTATAACAAAATTCACTTAAATAATGTAATGCACCATAAATTTTAGTTATCTACGTTACTGTTTTATTATTAAATTGATTTAAGATTAAATTATAATAAGATTAAAATATTCTTAACCGGCATCTATTAATGATTGAAGCTTGTTACAATCCGTGTCCATTTGTAAAACTTCCTTGAACCTTCTTAAGCCCCCCGAAGGCAAAGCAAACTTTTCAAATATTCTGGGAACCGTACTCATAACATGGATAATTTCTTCCAAAAAAGTGGTAAATGTATCTTCTATTTCATTTTTGTCGGGAAGATAAATAATTTCTTTATCTCTAAGATATAGCTTCATTTTAATCAAAGGTGATGGTGCCATTGTGCCTGAAAAAAAATCGCTGTTAATAAAGTTATATTAGTTGTTGAAAATATAAAATCATAAAATGCATAATCAAAATGTAATCATTAAGGAATATCTCTGTGACTTTACCATCACCATGCACACACTTGTACATATTTTGCATTGTTGCTTTAATAGATAGTCGTATGGCATCTTCTAATAGTCGATCAAATCTTCTCACATATTTCACCCAGTATTCAGCCATCTAAAAATCAAAATATTTTTTACATTGGCTACCAAAATTTCTAAAGCGGCGTGGTTCCGTAACACAAGTGGCTAATGGAACTGCAATACAAAAGTAGAATATAATCTTATTTATCTCGGAAATGTAACCTGTAAAAACATTTTCCTATAATAATTAATTTTCTCTTTATGTCAGTCAGCTATCGGTTTTGCTAACTTTTTAGCGCCGTGCGATGTTAGCGCTATTTTAAAATTTATGATTCACTGAAACGCAATGTATAATCGCCGCTTTAAATCAGTGTCTAATACAAAAGTTACCACATGTTTCCCGCTAATCAAATGACGTCTAAAATCTTAAGAATTGTTGTGAGCACATTTAACCTCTCGTGCAAAACGTTACGCGCCCTTTGTTTCTGTAGCAGACGAGGATTCATTAATGCAGTCGATCTTTAGCTTGATTATGAATTGACTTCTTGTTAATAAGACTGTTTTAGTATGTGACCAGAGTCGATTCTCAATTCATTTCAATTCTTTTATTGCAATCATGCGGTAATACAAGATGGTCAACTACTAAGCCATGCTAGCGATAGATCAAGCATCATCAGTTCCCTACATATGTATGATATGAAGAAATAATTATGAATGAACCATGTGCTCATGTTCACAATTAAAACTGTCTTATTGTCAAGAAGCCCTTATATATTTATACTTACTTGGCCTATATATGGTTCAAAACCTTCATAAACAATTATAAGGTAAGTTATTATTTCCTTATACATTTCCAAAATTTTTTCCGCACCTTCTATTTGCATTTCACGGATATTTTCTCTAAGATCCTTTATTTCAAAAACATTATAAATATCAAACTCAACAAGGGGTGTATCACATACTTTTTCCATTATTTTTACTAAATTTATATTGCAGTTTTTATACGTCGTCAAAAAATCTTGCAGCTGTAATATTTATTGTAAATTGTAATTACATAAAATATTTCAATTAAATAAAGACAATTTCATTACAATATTAGACAATGTATTTATAAAAAAGTAGAAGGAAAATTAACTAAATAATCGTTGTAATTTAGATATGTCGAACCTCTCCAATTTGAACAACACAATCAGCAATATATGCATCAGACATTGTCGAAGTCCATGTTAACTTAGTAATACCCGGTTGTACCTTTTTCTCACATGCCTGAAATTGATATTAAAATAAATTGAATTAAATGATTTCTTTTGAAATGCACCCAATGATAATGTGGAAGGATAGAAAAAAATTACATACGGCAGCACGACAGACTATACATTATGGACTTTGAACCGATCGCGCTTCATATATAACTTACATATTAACAGACATCTGCTTACAGTGGTGGTGTAGCGTGCGCAATTAAAAGGAATTCTTTTAATGTACTCTGACGTCGGTTGTGTATTCTTGTTATTAGTAGTGGAATCGGTTATAAGAAGCCTCTTAATTACTTTATATAAAAGTTTTTACTATCGAATAAAATATTAAAATACAGAAATCCGAATCTGATTGATTGATGGAGCTTGAGGTATGTCCTTTATTGAGTTTTTGAGGAAGGCCTAAAAGCTCTATTACATTATTTAATTTCAAGGGCCTGATAGATTGGGTCGGTGTGTCCCTTAGTACCCAGGCCTCACTAATTAAAGATTAAATATGGTCTTATATAATCCAAATGAACAAAAAAATCAAATTCAACGTAAAGCTTGCCCATGTTTAAAAAACCTTTATGGATTGAGCTCCCTTTCTCCCTAACAGCTAATGCACTACACAATCGTTAGGGCGCAGGGGAGTAAGAGAGATCGGGACAAACCGATCATCCTAGTTAGGGTCCCTAATTCCTATTGCACTACCCAATAGTCAAGGTAAGGGATCTCCTAAACATTGGTTAGTGTAATAAGGGCTCAATATTTTTTGCAGTACAATTTCGTTTAAAGCAAAGGGATCTTATCCTATAGGTATCGGTCTTCTTTTTTAACTACTAACTGGTGTTTCAAAGTTTCAACGATTCTGCATTGCTTTGAATGCAGTTCACAACAAAAAAAGATCTGTTCTTTTTTATAATTTTGTCCCATATCCGTTATGTTACTACTACTACTATTTTGTTACTACCATATCAGTTCTTCTTCTTTTTAATTAATGGCATTGCCCTTGTGGTTTTCGCCAGAATCCAGTGTTTCGCTCAGTTAATTTCACATGGAACTGCTTTTATGTCACCTCCCTAACCACTGACAAATTGATATTGACGGATAAAACCATTGACTGTCTGTCAATATCTCTTTCATTATCTATGATGTCAATGTCAAAACGTTGTTTATGTTATTATGTTCAGATTTTCGATTTGGATCAAATCTATTACAAATACATTATCATATGACAAACAGTCTATAATCACCGTATAAAAATATTTCCATTTACATACAGAAATGTTAAATTTGGCTGGATTTTGAAAAAAAAAAAATGAATCTAGCTGATCCTGAACTTGAATTGATAGACCCAACACCCAATGTTCATACTTTGTTCCTTCATTTTGACAAACTTTTCTTTTGGACCAAACTGGCAAGCAGAGCTGTAGTGAGATGGAGCAAGAGAATGTATTCCTGCGCCGGTGTATGTTCGTAAGTATCCATCAGAATTCCAAAAAATCCGGTAGAACAGTCACTGTATTAAATGTGATTATGAGAGAAAATAGTTTTTGATCAAAAAGACAATTTATATTTTTTTTATATTATGTATGGACTTCACTCCTGTGTATGGAGACACTTGAATAATGTCAGTCATTAGCTATTATATTACAAATTAATAATTAATACAAATAAATTTTAGGTACGAGGGCAGAGGAGGACTCTGTGATATTGCATTGAGCGAACCACTTCTCAAGTTACGTCCACGCAAAGATCTCATACAAACCCTACTTCATGAGATGATTCATGCATATCTATTCATCACTTGCCGTGACAGGGAACGGGACGGTCATGGACCAAACTTCAAGGCACACATGTATAGAATAAATAAATCTGCAGGCTTAAACATTACTATTTATCATGATTTCCATGATGAGGTATTAAATATACATTTTTAATATATTAAATAAGAATCATATTAATTATACAGAAAATTTATAAAGAGAGTGGTAAATTATTAATGTGAGAGCAAAGTCAGAGATTATTTTTGGTTTATGAATAAAAATATGTGTGTTTTTATTTGACATTGAATAGTAAACAATTATTGCTATAGTAACATTTTAATTCTCAATACAAATATACCTTATGTTCACATCGCATATGATGTTGCTTCCTGTACGTGAAAGTATTTTTAAAATCGGTCCAGTAGTTTCACAGCCAATTTAATACAAACAAATAATTAAATTTTTCCTCCTTATAATAATTATTAATTCCACTGTCTTACATGTATTTTTATTAACAAATAAACCCCTCCATAGCAGAGTGGATTGCACTCTGGTTCCTAGAAGTCGCTATCTCTGAAGTCTCAGGTTCGAGTCCCAGTCAGGTTGATGTAGAAAATTAATTTTTCTCATGTCTGAGTGTTGTGGTACCTTTGTTGTTCTCAGATATTCCATAATTATTGATTATAAAGGAACAGATTAAGGGTTGGTTCATATTTGATAGAAGATTAGTCTAATTGGCTGTGGAATATCAGAACTGACAAATGTATGATATTACTTTTAACCTAGTATACCTCCTTAAAATGGATTTTCCTTAAGATCTGCATCAACCCTAAATCTGGTTTCTGCTCCGGTTGTCTATTGAAATTTATTTATAACAAGATATTTGTAAATTACAGGTAGAGTTATACCAAACCCACTGGTGGAGATGTAATGGGCCTTGCCAAAGCAGGAAACCATACTTTGGGATTGTGCGCCGACCACAAAACAGAACACCAGGACCTAAAGATTACTGGTGGTCTAAGCATCAGCAAACTTGTGGAGGTATGTTTATAAAGATTAAAGAGCCGGAAAAGAAACCTCGAAAAGGCAATAAGACTGAAAATAAACATGGAGATATTACAAAATATGTTAGCAGCAATAATGTTAAAAACCCTTTGACACCTGTTTTGAAAAATAGCAATATAAATAATCGTACCAATATAAAGTCAAACAGTGGAAACACAATAGTAACAACAAAAAATACTAGTAATCCTAATAAACCGAATCCTCCTATTAAAGCATTTAGTGGTACTGGTCAAGTTATAAACAATATAAGGAATAAAAGTGACATATCTGATGTCAAAGAAACTGTTAGAAATGTTTGGGCTAATAAAAAATTGTCAGGTTTAAATATTAAACCTAATAATGCTGTAAAACCAATAAAACAAAAAGCAGTACCGGTACACTCAGATTCACCTCCTTCAAAAATTAAAAAGATAGACGATTATTTTAAACGCACAGCCTCTTCTTTATTGAGTGATTTATATGGACAAAATATAGAATTGACACAAGATAATAATAAAATAATTGTCGTTTCTAACAAAAATCTTATTAATATCCCTGAGAATAATAAAATAATTGCAGTGAGTAATAAAGACCTTGTTGATTGTCCAGTATGTAACAAAAAAGTTGATGCCAGTGATATTAATAAACATTTAGATGAATGTTTGAATACAAAAATTATTGAAAAACTCAGTGAACATGATATACAACCTATTTCATCAGGCACTGGTGTAATTGCTAGTCAAAATACAACAAAAAAATCCCTCAAAGAATTAATTGGGTCTATACCAGAAATACCTCTATATAAAAAGAAAGAAAATACTTATAATAACAAAATGTTCAAGGAAGAAAATGGAGAACTTATACCAACATGTACTAGTGAAACTATTGATCTCGCTAATGTGGATATGAACTATGTATCAAATATTAAAACTCCTACAGTTAAAGTGGAAGATAACAGTGATCACAATCAGTTTGATACAAACGATATTAACAAAGTAAAAGCAGTAGTGAAAAGAATAACTTATGATAAACATGTTAGAAAATCTGATAATTTTGTAGTGCCAAAAGAAGAAAGAAACGGAGTTGACTGCGGATTCTTACCATCATTTTTGGATGATATGGGAACGGCTATTAAGCCTGCTGCTATTAAAATAGAACCAGGTACAAGTAAAGATATAGTGTCTGCTTTGACACCTAAATGTCCATGCTGTGGCAATGTTGTTAATAAGCCAATGGCTGAGCATTTAGACGAGTGTCTCGCCTTCATGAACAATGATACAACAGAACCAATGGAAGGGGCATCAACTAGCTTCGCAAATAATACTATAGTCGTAGATGATGACGATGACGATATATTTGATGAAACAATGACTATGAATGCCACGGGAACGAAGACACCATGTCCTTGTTGTATGGAAATGATTGAAATGTCGGTTATGAATGACCACCTAGACAGTTGTTTGAGTTGATTGTAGAATAATTTATTGCATTTTTATAGTATTATTATTCTTTTATAATAATTACTCATAGAATCAGTAGAAGTTGATTGAGTTATATTTTCCAAACAATGATATAAGTTACAAGAATGGTTTTAAGAAGTTATTTGTTTTGTGTTCATTATTATGTTATTTTTATTAATCAATAATTGTACCATCATATGTTGTTGCTTCAGTTTAAATAGCATAAGGAATGATAAAAGATATTGTTTCTTTTGTGATTATTTTGTTTATTGGGTCAGAGATTGTAAGGAAATCAACTAGTTTTGCAAATAAAAAACGGTATACGCAGCGTAGATGGTATTAATAACAATTGTATAGTATATCTAAAGGTTTGTCCGAGAGATCATATATGATTTGTTTTGAAGAATTATGTTTGACGACGAGGTCGGCTGAGGGCCTCAAACGTCGTTTTCAAGGTGTCTCTGTTATCCCGGGTAAGATTCCATAATACAAGAGCTTTAGATACTTAATTTAGATCTGGGCAATGTGATATATTTATATGTTTAATTTATTTATTGATTAGTAATAAAGATATGTTCATTAAATTGTAATTTTACCGAAATGTGATATTAAAATTAAAAATGTGTATTGTTTGTGCATCGTATTATTTCGTCTTTATAATTAATTGACCGGAAGTCCGTTTTCGCTAAGGAAATAAGTTTTGGTCTTAATTTCGGTTTCGCATAATGAATTTCTCGAAGCATAAATACATTTAAGTATTTATCATCCCAACTCTGGCATAACTTTAAACATGCATATGGCTTTCGCCGGCCGCTGTCGTTGCATGCTTGCTTCGATAAACCGGTTCGCTTTTGGTTTTGGTCCCAGATTTCACCTAACCGATTGATCGGTAGATACTTTCATTTAAAAAATAAAAACAAAGAAACCCGGTAAAATACAATACATTGCAATATGTTTCGGAAACTTTCGGTTTAGGGCGAAGATGGGGGTAAGGTCGAAAGTTCGGTCTCGGTTTAAAAACCGATTTTACTAAATAAACTAAATCTACAAGTACTTTCGTGGGAACTTTGCGATAAAACCTTGTATAAAAATACAAAGTGGTAACCTATAAACTGTTTTCGGAATTTCCTTTTAGGAAGTTTTTTTTTACAATAATTTAGTTCCATTAACGTTTAATGACGCCTTTAAGCTCTAATGAATACCAAATTTGTTGTAATGTCACTTTAAACTAATGGAAACTTAAATTGACGTTTCTGTAACTGGCTGTTAGTCTGCTAAAATCTGATTTATCACCCTACGGTTGAGGTTTCTTTGAACATCATGATACAACAAGGTCCGACTTTCCATGCAAGGGAAAGTAAAAAATACGGTCGAGACATCTGCGTCATACATTTGTAATAACCGAGGTTCTAAACTCCGTTACAAAAAACGAACCTTGGTAATTGGATCTCACATCACAGAAACTTGTTAATACTGCTTGCCCATTTTTGCTGACCATAATACCTACCATTTTTCAAAATATTTCTTTTTTATGTCTAATTTCTGAGGTTTCAAACTTAAAAACAGACCCATAATTTATCCTATGTTTATTTACGTGGTTGAATTTTTGAAATAGGCTTTTTAACGTCAATTGTGAGGTACCTATATCGTCGCCGCCTCTGTCAGCCTTTATTAAGCCTAAGATTCAGTTAGAATTTATTCAAGACTTACCGTTGTCAGTGGCTTGAAAAGCAATCTCTCCTCATCCGATAGTGAGTCTAGAATCTTGTTGTATCCTTTAACAACGGCAAGTACGCTCTCATATACATAAAATACATTCTTCATTTTCATGTATACCTGTTGATTTGAAAATAAAAAATTTGGTTCTTCGCTTTCCTATTTTTGCTATTAAAATATGTTTAATCTGTAGCTCATATAAATAGAAAAGTGAGAATAAGATGATATAAAGTATCATGGGAGTTATGAGGGACAGGGCGCACTTTGTGTTTAATCCTCTGGAAAATAGAAAGATAAATAAAACAAAAAATTAAAGTATTTAGACCACTCGGACATCGTGACTCGCATGTTGTGTACAAAGAAAAACAGAGGTACGCTATGCGGACATTTACCTTTTAGTACATTACCTGATGATGATGACATGACATGAATAAAGTAATATTAAGTGTTTTTAATTAAAATTGGAAGAGTCAATACAAAAAAGTAAAATTAAACGTTACAAATAGCAGATGGTAAGACAAACATATTCCAAAATAGAAGATTCCAATCCTTTTACCTGGTAGGCGTGAAGAGGAATGTCTAATCCTAAGTTTTCCCAATGTAATGCTTCTTTACCCAGTTCTAGTATATTTCTGAAAAATAAAATAACATATAACATTTATTGTAAGACAAATTTCTTATGGCAATAAGAAGTCGTGCGTACACATCAATGTTACACTCCATTAGACCAGGATTTTCAGCACTCTTACGCATCAATGTCCTATTTAATCCGGCGCCGCATTTCTCATCCAAATTGTGCTGTAAATTAAATTCCAATCTATAATATTAAATCACATCACTGAATAATTTCTACAAATACGACTATTAAGGAAGCGAAAGACTAAAGATCTGCAGAGCGATCGCCTAACTATCTATCTATAACTCTAGCCATAGGATCCGACAAATATAGGTACTTAAGCTCTGTTATTGCGTTATTTCGTGTCATTTTATTATTTCGATATGTACTTTGTTATCGACGAATCAAAGTACATATCATAAGAATTATGAACATGGATTAGACATCAGATTCCAATTTCGTCATTTATCTACTAAAAGACATGCCAAAGTAGTAAAATCAAACGAAATATCACATTTATATTCGCTAAGATATCGTATACTGTGGCTAGAGAGTTAGACGAACTCATCCCCGATCACTACGCAAGACATCCGGGGTGCAGATAGGTATAGATTACTGCAATTGGGCTTCGGCGGAAAGATAGATAAATTTTAAAGATAGATAGATTCAAAGATAGATAGATTTAGGTGGAAAGATAAATAAAAAGATAGATTCGTTGATGGCAAAGAAACTACCGTCCATGAAATCCAAAGTTCTCTTATAGCGACGTCGATGGCACCCATTAGCCTGTTCACGTGCATAATTACATCTTCAGAATTACTGCACGGCATCAGCCATACCGAAGCATCGGTCATTATCTAGAACGATAAACGGTAAAAGTGCCTTTGAATTTTTTAACACGAAGAAGTTTGAATTGACGATTGGCCATAGTTTAACACTCGTATCTATAATCGAGAGAAGTAAATGCTTGAAACCAATAGACTGACTGAAGTCAGAACTGTAAAAAGCTAATAATCCAGATAAACACGAGTTACCTTTTTCAGATAAATGAGTCTGTTCTTCCTCATCTGGAGAACTACAGCTCTTCCAGAAAAGCAAGGCAGATCAGCGGGATGTTGACTGCGCGTGGACACCATGTCCTTCTTAGCCTCCTGGACTTCATCACTGAACATAGCCCATACCTAAATGAATTAGTCGTTAATAAATAATCCTTTAGCACCGTTGCCTTATGAGCAGCTCGAAGGCATAGTGGAAAAGCGCCGCGGCCCGCGATCGTTGTCATTAAGCAACTTTCGCAGTAGTCGGTCACGGGATGGGTGATCAAAAAATATCTTGGGCTACTCCGTGCGTCGGAAAGCACGTTAAGCCATTGATTTTAACTGCATTTGTTGACTTTAATACCCTCCAATCTGCATTGAGCCACAGAGGAGGGTCGTGGCCACGACCATCCTCTGTGGCCCATCCTCCTTAACTATGAAGGGGCTGATTTTGATGATGATGACCTATCTTATTTAGCATAATCTGATGTCATTTTGCGTTAGTCTACAGCGATGATTGTACATAAAACTACTATAATAACTACGAGAATACGAACTGGATGTAGAAGGTGCTATATATAACTAGTCTGGTGAATGAAAATCGTTAAAGCAGCATGGAAATGAAACAAGAAATCTATCAAACCTCGGCCGTTTTACGTTTGAAGATACGTTTTAAATTCTTCCTCTTAGAGTAACTATTCAGTGAGTAAAGCGCAATCACTGCTTCTTCGACGTGGTTCACCCCCTCAAACACTGTCTCCACCAAATTTTCAATTATAATCTGGAATTGAGTTTTGTTACTTCGCTATCGTGTAACTGATGCTAAGGTAGGATCAGCGATACTTCTTATAAAAATATATTTCCAACGCATTCTAAAGTTCGTACAAATTTATTATTAGAAGTTGGATCCTCGAGCTCAAGGATTTTTTAAATAGTAATCGATCATGAAAAGAGACCAACTAAACCTAATCTGAGGTTATAATGTCACATTTGATTGACCTGACCTCAATATCCTTAATGACTGTCCGGAATTGCAGCACTTCGTCGTACCAAGAAGGGGCCTGGACATCTAAAATCGTATGTGTCACCGCTCTTACTTTATCCAGAGCGTTATTAAACATATGCTCTATCTGATCGCATTTATTCTCAAACTGTTCGCCACGTGCACCAGCAAACATTGGTTTGGGGATATCTTCTAATTCGTCGATCCTAAAAAATTACTCATTTATTTTAGATACTATTAATATCATGCAGATCATAATATTTTTATAGAAAGTAATTATGTTATACCTTCCAAATATAATCATACAGTTGCACACATCGAGCATATCAAAACAACGTTGGACGAACGAGTCGATATAATTAAAAATTGACCCCGTGTCCAATTCCCAGCTACCTGGATTAACATCATTATGCGCTTCAGCCATCACGTCGTAAATCTCGCGATATTTCTTACAGCAGTCTATACATTTAGAAAACTCCCCCAACGCTTTTTTCGTCTCACCGCTAAAGAGATCGTCCAGATTGATATAAGTTTTACATAAGATTATTATCTGGTTGCTCAAGGCCTTGAATAAATTCGTTATACGTGCTTCGGAGTTGTAGAAAGGCGATTCCATCCAAATGAATCTAAATAGATTAATGATTTGTGGAATGTGTTTGGATATTTCATCGGGATCGATCACACATTCGAGAACAGCGCAAGGTTGTTTGATCACTTGCAAATACTCGATGTTTGAGGTAGCCTCTTTTCTCTTATATATTATTTCTTCGCATAACGACTGAAACTGATTGATGAAAGTCGAATGAGTTGTGACAAGTATCTTCGTGATGTGACGAACGGCTGGATTTTTCAGTTGGTGACGTAAAGCGCTTAGATTCTCAACTGAAAGAATTATGTTTTTATTATTGAAATATTATAATAATATACTTATAAATATTCCTGTAAAATATTTACGCCTGTATATCCAGAAGTCGTATTCATCACTAGGACATAGCAGTTCATTTTGTGATGCGACAAACGCTTGGTCTTCCAAACAGGATTTAATCTGATGTGTCCAATAGACGACTACCCCTTCCAGCCTCTTTACCAGCTCTAGGTCTGTACTCGCTTTTTCGAAAGACAGCTGCTGGCCCTCACGTGGTATGTACAGAACAGTTAGCCCCAACATTTTGTAATACATATCAGTAAGTTTCGCTAGAAATGTGTGTATCTGAGTGCAGAATTCACTTTTAACACCTGAAATATAAAACGAGTTCTTCAAACGTAAGAACATTAAATCCCTACAATGTTTTAAATTCATATTTTTATGTCCTGAACATGGAAGACCAGTAAGTATATACTTACTATCAGGCCATGTAGTTATAGCGAAAAAATATGGAGCATACACGTTCTCCAGAATTTCAATCATATTAGATTCTACAGAATCTACAAACGTCCCAAACACTATTTCATCGTGGAACGTGTCCACTTTGAAGATGTAATCAGGCTGCCTGACGAAGTAAGTCAAATCATAGACTGGGAACAGGGGTATATCGCAAGAGGCAGACAGCTTCTCGCCTCTAAAGTAAACGCAAAGGATGAGAGCTCTGGGTTCCATAAGCCAATTTTCTATCCCCTTTTTGGCATCATCGTTCCAGTCCTCGTCCCGTAGGTCGTATAATGTAGTCATTCTCATAATGAAACCGATTAACTTCTCCAATTCTTCTGGGGAATACGTGGGTTTTACTGGAGTTTCGGCTAATTCTCTTTCCAGTTGTGCTATACGCTCCCGTTCTGAAATTTGATGCGTGTAATTACAAAGAGATATATCGATAAATTTCATTAAATTTATAATAAGACTTTTAATTTACGAATTGATATTGATATATTAGGCTTAAGAAGTGATCGATTTTAGTTGTCATTTTATGGGCGATCTTATTAAAATAATATTGTGTACCTAAAATGACATCACCAAAAGATGCTTTTTATATCGGGAGTTTCTTCTAGTAAACTTGTAAAGATTATTCTAATGTCATTTCGGCATTCAATAAGCGTGTAAATAATGAAAACATCGTCTCGATTTTCTAAATACTCAGCTGCCTATATACCTTGTACTCAGTACATGCATACATAAGTACTAACGCAATCCTTAACGGAATTTTCATATATACTAATAATAAAGACTTGATTGTTTGTTTGTTTGTTATTGAATAGGCTCCGAAACTAATTCAAAAATTCTTTCAGCTACGGGAAGCTACATCATAGTCAGATGCTTAAGCTATAATTTACGCGGTCGAAATGCTAGGAAATGGAAGGACAGCTATTAATATTATAAAGAGGAAAGATTTGATTGTTTGTTTGCATTGAATAGGCTCCGAAACTTCTGGACTGATTTAAAAATTCTATCATCTGCAGGAAGACCCATACACAATTGGCATAAGCCATAATTTACGCGAGCGAAGTAGCGGAAATCACCTATACTCCAGTCACTATAACATTAGAAAAAAGAGGGTCATAGAAGCAGCAGTGCAGAACATTTTATTTTCAAGATAAATTTAAAAATATATATTAGTTTTTTTGAAACTTTGAACGTTAGGTAGTTTGAAAGAGCTGGGCAATTATCCATTTTTTATGATACCTCGGGATTGAGATGAGGCCAGCATTTTATAAATTCATCTTTTAGTCCCAAGCCAACATGGAACTAAAACTGAAACTATCTGTGTGTTTTGATAAATTGTAATTGTAAGTGTAATTAGTTAGAGTATTGATGAAGACATTGGAAAAACTCCCTGAAATGTCAAAGTTTGAGGGTAGGTATGGGGGCTTAGAGCGTAATTTTTGTAGGCCACTCGGGCCTTTACCGGCATCCTCCATATTTACCAAAACTTAACAACAAAAATAAAACAATAACATCACGGAAAACGGCAAAACAAAAAGAAAGGCAGTAGTTTTCATAATGGATGACAGTCCCAGATTACGATTTTAACAACTATGAATAAATAATAATCTGACATAATTAAAAAGCTGTACTATCGAAATGTTTGAAGGGGTTAGACATCGTTTTAAATTGGGTAGAGTTATAGTGTCATGAGAATCGTGCCGAAACTATAATATCCAACCCTGCTTCTTCAGGTTCTTTACGATGAACACTTTTTATTGTAATAGTTATTAAATCATTTAAGTTAGTCATATACTCATAAATTTGTTTAATAGATAGCTTAAATGACAACAGTTAAGTATAGCAGCTGGTATTTAAGTGGATATGTAGCAAATTAGCCGTCAGTCTTAAAAGTAACATGATTATTGATATTTTGTCACAAAGTATACCATAAAAAGAACCTTATTTAACTTGATAATGAATGGAGTATAGTAATAAGTAAAAATAGGTATGGGAATCTTTCTGGCAAGTGACACCTCTAGAATTCCATCCCTAAACTAATAGAAATACATATGAATTAACATTAACCTCTTTCCTCTTCAGAATCGTGGCTGAGGTCATCACTCCAAGCTACTTTTGGCCGTTTGTTTTTAACATTTTCCGCCATATTGGCATACAATAAATTAACAACTAACACTAATTGCACACTTAACGTAGCATTAATTCTTACATAAAAAGCACATCAATTATTTGTGACGATAATGGCCATGTTTTCCAATCAAACAAAAGAAAATTACACGTTTGGCGTTTCTTCTGTATTTTATTTTTTAATTCCAACTTTTTAATTATGAGATTACTGACAACCGAGGAGGTTTTAATTTTTCAACATTGCGATCATCAACTTATTCAGTCTGTAACTAAAGAAAACCTTTGCTATAGCAACCGTTATTCGATGTTTCCAGCATTGGAATAACACAATGTTCTATGAACATAGCACCGTATTTCCGAAAATATTAATCGCAGACACGCTGTTATTCTACATTATTTCTCAAATATTAATGAACTATTATTATATAAATTAAAAAAGATTAGATTTAAAGTAAGACCTATATTTTTATTAATACAACAATACAATAAAATCTTCATATGGACGAATATGATATTATACTCTCTTTGCAAGGGTTAAATATCAAATATATCATAGAAAGCTCTTTTCATGTAATTTCGCCCGCATAAATTACAGCCTATACGTCACTCCGGCGTATGATGTAAATTCTATTAGATAAAAGAATTTAAAAGATCGGCCCTGCAGTTTTGGAGTCAACTAACAAAGCAAATAAACAAACAATCATATTTTTTCTTCTTCGTGTTATTGCTATAGTATACATACCTACGCTTTACTCTTTGTTATAAATAATGTTAATATTGTCAAAGCAAAGATGTCATTGATACTTTCAAGTCACTCAATAACGGCGTCGAAAAATAATAATCTAGTGAAAATAAGAGGTATATATAGGTTTATTTTAAGTAATAGGGTAAATTATGAAAAACTACAAAGATATTGTCGTTTATTTATTAATAATATGGAGCATTTGATGCAACGAAGGAACTATAGTTTGGTAGCTAAAGTTAAAATCGTTTTCCAGTATATATCTTGTGGAAGTCCAATACAATTACTGTAAAACTACGATATCTAGCGATTTTCATATTGTTCAGAAGCTGACGGATATCTGTATCCTGTGCATCTCGTGCCTACCCGCAAATCATCCCACGTGTACATTATACAAATATCTCACAATAACAGTACAGTGTGGATGTTGCTATCGTAGTTTTAGAGTTATTTTTTTTAAACATCAGTAATCAATTCCAAGTCCTGTATATCGCATTTTATTGTGTTTCAACATTTTAAACTTGAAAATTGCAGTTGTGGATATTATTTACCAAAGGCGTTAAAGCAGGAAGGCAGTTAGCATGCCCTTGCACAATGCCGGTCCATGGCTTTGTGTGTGTTTACGTTCAGTAAGGATGGCAGGCAGCAGCTGGCAGGCGTCCTGAGGGGCCTCCTCATCACTCAACTGGTCGTGTCTCTTTTCATGGTCATTTTCTGTTATAACACATCCCTTAAGGTTCTGTTGCTGCTTAAACACATCCATAAGGTAATTTGTATGGAATATAGAATTTGCAATAGTTTAAGGGCTACATACACGAACAGGTGTACCGTCAAGGCCGCAGTGCGAATGGAGGAGAGTCAGGCACACTTCATGGTATATGGCTGACCTATCATCAAACCTGCAGCAGATTTGTAAGGCGCCACATTTTGTTAAGTTTGCATGACCAACTTGAAGGCAAACTGATGAAACTGACTCGTTCCTTTGATAGGAGGTAGTGACGAGTAAAAACCAAAAACACATCATGTTCCCTACAGTCAAGGTGTGGAAGTGGTCTTTCCGAGGAGAGTCCCTTCCCACATAACCTCTTCCTATGCGCTTAGGCCGGAGACGCATAAAGTTGCGTTGCGTAAAAACTTACTTAAATTTCAAATTTTAATGAAAGGCAAAATAACGGGCGTACTTTCAATAATAAATCATCTTGCATTCAAAAAGTATATAAATGGTAAAATCAATCAATGAAATAAAATTATTGTGATTTGATTTAGTTTTCAGATACGCCCACCATTTTGTCTTTCTTACCTTGAAGCGCTATAAACTGTTGTACGTATTACAGGTGACTGTGTTTCTCCTTTACGGTCTAATATTACTGCAAGCATACTGCATGAAGTTACATTATACTGGTGGCCTCCGTTTGATCACTATACTACTCCAATGTCCACATTGGGCCCGGGCCCATCTCGCTAGTAGGGTATGGCTCATCAATGGCACTATAGTGGCTGCCAACGGCATGCTCGTTTATGCTGCTTGTAGAGGTACTTTGAAGGTAAAGTATAAAATACTTCTCATTTGTTTTGAAAAAAATCTCTGTATCTATATCTATACCTCTTCGTATAGAATACTCAATTTTGAGGGGGCGTACAGCCAAAATGCTTCTGTTGCCAAAATTACCTAGATCGCTTTTAAGATATAGTGCCTATCGCTTATCGCTTTTAAGATTTCATTGTTATGCAATACATTTATTATTAAGTTTCTATTGCTTGTTAATGAAAAATGCCACTTTGTCCCCGGCATTCTGAGATAGGACACTAACCCATGACCTTTCGCCATCCGGGCAACTGCTCTATTCACTGAGTTACCCAAGATCTAATAGGGCTGACAAATTTGAAATACTTGTTACATTTTCGCTTCTATAAAAAAATCCAAAAGAATTTATTATACGAATATTTAAAAAAGAGAAAATTTATCGAATATTATAAATAGAACAAATTTTCGATTTTATCTAAATATTGTAAAAGTAATAAGTTCATACTTCGTCGCATATCAATTGAGGAACCCTATAAAAAAAGGAATTATGTAACAACAAGTAATAATAACAAGGAGTAGCTCGGTGGCGTAGTCGATAAGCGCCGCGGCCCGCGATTGTAGTCATTAAGCAACTTTCACAAGGGTCGGTCACGGGATGGGTGACCAAAAAATTACTATCTCGAGCTACTCCGTGCTTCGGTAGGCACGTTAAGCCGTTGGTCCCGGCTGCATCTGCAGTCGTTAATACCCTCCAATCCGCATTGGGCCAGCGTGGAGGGTCATGGCCCATCTTCCTTAACCATCCAAAAGGAAGGCCTGAGCCCCTGCAGTGGGAACGTAAAAGGGCTGGTGATGAAGTAATAAAAAAACCAAGTACTAGTCAGATTCGCGCGCGAAGGGTCCCGTACCATTAAAAAAAGTTTAAAAAATCACGTGAGTTGTTTTCAATGGAGTTGTTAGAAATTTTCAAGTTAAATACCTACTGTGGCTACACCACCAGTAAGACAGTAATAAGGCTACATCAGTTAATGGAAAATTTATTTGTATATCCGCCAATGAAATAAGGAGCTCTTAAAAGAACTATTTCAACGTCACTGTCCGTATGAAACAAAGGAGAAAGCAACGCAACAAGTGCGTGTCAACAGCTGCGCGCCACATGTCAACCGTCCGCAGCGTAGTAACCCGCACGCTCACCCGACGCCTGGCAAAAAGGATCTCGTTAACTCTATGCCAGCCTTTATACGCCACGTCACACAATCCCTCGCCCCGCGTCTCAGTCCCTTTCCCTTTCCTCTCGTCACTTTCCCCTTCCATTGTAAATATTGTAGCTTTCTTGTAATTGGTTTAAAATGTGCATTTCTTATTGGTTAAGTTTGTATTTATAATTTTAGGGAATTTTCATTGGATAATATTATATTACGTTTTAGTATAAGTAGCTGTAAGATTTGTAAATAAAACATTCCATCCTTCCACCTTCTACGGAGTTTTACTACCCGACGTGATCTTCAACCGACGTGATCTTCAACCGACGTGATCCTTAAACGACACGACATCGAAGACTCGAAGAACTACGTGATCCTGTTTCGAAACGCATTTTTGTCCTGCAAGAAAAACTTTCACAAGATGGCAAACACGGAAGCAAACCCACCGTCGCCGTCCACATCAAACGAAATCCCCAGCGTCGCACTCCCACTCCGCATACCACCATTCTGGCGCGATAAACCACGATTGTGGTTCGCCGTTTTTGAAGCTGCAGTTAATGAGCTTCATAAAAACGAAGCCCAGAAGGCGCAGATGGTCATCGCCCAGCTAAACAAGGAAGATGTCGAGCAAATCTGCGACCTACTTTACGCACCACCGTCTGAGGGCTATTACACAGTCGTTAAAGAAAAACTCATATCTACATACGAGGAATCCGACAGCAAGCAGCTACATAGGTTATTCTCCGACATGGAACTCGGAGACCAGAGGCCGAGCCAGTTGCTTCGTCGTATGAAAACGCTCGCTACGGGAAAAATCCCTGACAAAACGCTACAGCTAATGTGGATGAATCATCTACCACCACACGTACGCTCGATACTCGTCGTTAGCGACACAATGGCCAAAGATACCGCACTCGACGATATCGCCAAACTCGCTGATAAGATGGTAGAACAATACGAAACTTCGTCAATATCATCTATCACTACGCCGATAGCAAACAAGAAAGATGATACTAACATGCAAATTTTAATTGACGAGTTTCGCAAAATGCACACCGAGATCGCCGAACTGAAAGAAAAAACATCCAATTACCGCAGCAGCTGTAGCGGGCCGCCACATTACCATTACACGCAACAAAGAAACGATCACAGGACGCGGTACACTGCATTCCCGTCTCACTATTACTGTCTTACTGGTGGTGTAGCCACACTACAATTGACCGACTATTACTCGTAAACTTGTAAAGCCAACTTAAGTCTAATAATAGTATTAATTTCGTTTTAGATAGGTAAACATTTGAATTTTTACCAAGGATCGTTTAGTTGGTAGAAGTCTAGCCCCCACTCTGAGGATAGGTCCGCAGGGGAGAATCCCCTGAAAAAACTTTTTAAAAGCTTATTCCAATAAAGAAATATTTTAATTTTGTTTCACATTGTTTTTCAGGCGCTGATGAGTGAATTGTCATCGTCTCTCAGAATTGGTATATCGCAATATCTAACTGAGCCGAGTTGGAAACGACTGGTGGACACAATGCAGGTTTGTGTCGAATTACAAAGGGTCAAATAAAGGAATGAGACCTGGCGAGTGCGTATTTGGGGTGGGAAGGCTTAGTGATGTTATGGTGGCTACGAAATGCTACGAAATCTTAGCGATTAGCGATTCATTTTACTACGACGTCTTTTGTTGGATACACTTTTGATAAATGTCATAGTTTGTAACACTACTGTTAAATCCATAATCATCATTCTCTATAATTTGTAGGCGAATATGGTCATCGTAAAGCGCATACTGTGTCAGTCATTAGGAAAAGCTTCTTGCATAAACATTGCTGAATACCTATAATGCGACTATAATTTAATGTTTTCAATAAAAATGCTAAAAATCCACTTTGCCCCTGGCACTCTGAGATGGGACTCGAACTCATGATCTTTCGCAATTCTTCTTCTTCTAAAGGTGCCTCTCCAACTAGTGAAGGTTAGCAATTAGCATGTTCAGGTCCTTCTTGTCTTTAGCTCGGCGGAACAGCTCAGCAGCGCTCGCTATCACGATCCACTCCGGACGACTGTTTTAACCATTGAGCTACCTATAATTCATTGAATTTTTCATTAAGAATGTTTTTCAATATAGCATTGTGAATGTAAAATATAATAATAATTTTGTGATTTGTAATTTCGTTCTGCGTTGTGCAAGAAAGAGTTTTAATATAACATTATTCAATTGATATCGTAGCAAAAAGTCCTAACGTTTTTAGTGTTATAAGCAACTATTTAAATGTTTTCTAAGATATTTATTTTTGTTTTTAGATAGAGCTGAGTTGTTGTGGCGTTGAGAAGCCCGGAGATTGGCACGAGATACCATGGATCAATATGGATTTTCTGAACAAGGATTCTGATTTAGTTATGAAGTTAGTGTGCCACTTTTACTACACAATTATTTAAGATTGATTAATCTGGCTTTTAGTAGATAAGATCAGTTATATTGTGACAGTCACAGTAAACAACAGATGAAATCAGTATTTTATATGATTTTAAGTAGTCATAGGTTAAAATATTGTTAACCTAAATGGATAGAACTGATTGTTTATCTTTATCTGCAAATATTTTTTTTCAATAAAAGATTGGCAAGTGCTGATGGGAAGGTTCTCCCGCCAGTATCGCCATACTCGTGCTGTACACCACGAGTACTCGCCGCCTGCTACCACGATCCTCTACAACAGGTACTTCATTATTTGTCTAAATCTAGCATTTGTTGTTATGCTAGTCGTAGAAGGCCTATTGTATTCCTCCAAAAACGGAATTATCTACGTCTATTTTCGAAACGCTAATAAGACTCCTGAGTATTGACGGACTTACCCCATCGGTGGCCTGGGGTGGCAATAGGCCTGGATCGACATTTTTTTCCAACCCAGGCAGAATCTTGATATTGCTTTTAATTGATAATGATCGAAGAGAGAACTTCAAATACAGACGTGTTGACTTATTTTGGTAACGATATAAACCTGGTATTAAAGTTATAATGATCCTCGTTATATAATAAGACTGGATAAGTATATATTTTAAACATTATGGTTAGAGTGAATGCCGTGAGATCTGGAGCGGTTCGCCGCTGCTGCCAGCGTCGTTGCACGCGCGCGGCTGCGTCGAAGCCGTGAGACAACCGCTCACTAAGGCGCTGCTGGCGCTGCATCTCTTCAACGTGCTCGTCTTCTTATTACAAGTATGATGTTAAAGTTAATATTTTATAGAGATCAATATCTGTAGTAATAGTCGAGAGAATTACTTGAGAAACTGGCAAAACTTAAGCGTTTGCGAATCCTTGAACGCTCGATGTAGGTACTATGCGCTGTGATATGATGGAAATTTATTCAATAAATTAAGTTGTTATGAAGACAACAGTTAGCCCATATTATGCTGAGCCATTTATTACATTTCACGATGTAGGTATATTTTAGACGATTAGATGAGTCTTTGTTTAGTTTGATAATTTAATTTTCTAACAATAACTTCTACAGTACTTCGAAATAAATAATGGGTATCGACTAACTACGTGTTTCCGAAAATCGACACATATGGGCAGTATAATGATATAGAGCTGCTTTAACACAATTTATGTATCTATCTATACAGAATAAAATACTTAAATAAAAGTTTACATCAAAGCGAAACACTACGCAGGGTTATACACATCAACTCAGTATAGTTCTAAAAACGGTAACGCACGTCCTTAAATTAGGATGTATTGAATAGGAATTAGGAATTATTGAATTAGGAAGTATTTTAAGAAAAACAAAGAAAATACTAAAAAGCACCTCACTTGATGGTGACTCTACCAAAAGTTGCTTTTTGCAAGAAACGAATTTACCAAATGTTGTCATTTCCGTTCCTTTTAACTAACATATTAAAAAAACTGAAATTTGTAAAGTTCGAAAATTAGATATCAATCTATATATATAAAAATGAATCGCAAAATGTGTTGGTAAGCGCATAACTCAACAACGCCTCGACCAATTTGGCCAAATCTTTTTTTTAAAATGTTCGTTGAAGTTCAAGTATGGTTTTTACGGCGAGAAAAATTAGAATTATTGCTGGAAAAACCCTAAAAATAGCCCTTTTCTTTTTCCCATACAAATGATTTGTAACTAAAACGTAGTCAATTTGAGCTTTATTGCTATGATATAAAGTTCATATTAAATTACAAGCACTCACTGTTGTCTAAGCAATGTAGGTGTGTTCCTAACGTCAATGATCATATCTATCAAAACAATGTGCGTGTGTGCGTTGGAGCACAGAATACATAGTTGGAGGAGTTTAATGTCGCGTTCCGAAACTCGCGTTTCTTTTGTATTAGTTTCGGCACGCAGAATTTTTTTAAATACGTAGGCAAAAAAAACTGCCACATTACAAATCTTTTTGACAGGACGAAGTCTGTCGGGTCAGCTAGTATATAATAAATACGAAGAAGTACAAAGCGTTGTTTATTGAGTTTTGAAAATTTATTTACTTTTATACATGAAAGAAAACCGGAAGGGTTGTCATGGAGAAATCAAGAAAGTATCGTAGCGACATCTAGTTTGATTTCTAGAACTAATTTCTTTTTAAATACTTCAATGACAAATTAGTGTTGTACTGATTTTAAAATTGACGTTTATTTAATTGCGATAAAATTGAAACAGTAGGTAAACGAATTGTAGGGGCAAACTATTTTATGTTATTGTCAGACGATTGTTTCCGATGTGTTTCAGGTGTTAATTATTTATCTTCAAATGCTGTGTTTATTTTTACATTCAAGATGGTGATAACGGTTCTAACCCAATTACTGCGCACTAGTGCACGCAGCGCTGTGCTGCGCGGCGATTGCTCTGGAACTGGACGCGGGTGGCTACTGTATACAGATGACAACACCCAACCAAAAGTACCCGTCTTTATAGCATTGTATAACATGATAATCATTCATCATCACCATCACCAGCCTATTAATCTGTTCATTGCTGGGGCTCAGGCCTTCCCTGTGGATGGTATCGAATTGATAGAATACACCATGACCCATCACGTGGACCCAGTGCGGATGGGTGGCCTTTCGAAGTACGGAGGAGTTTGAGATAATAAATTTTTGGTCACCCATCCTATGACCGGCCATGGCGAAAGTTGTTTAACCCTGCACCTGGGCGCCTGTTGTGCTTAAGATGGGTCTGGCTAGAACTTTATCCTCAGTGCCTGATTGTTCTGTTTTGTGCTCTCGCACCTTATTATAGGGAGGATGCCCGGGTAAATAAAAAAAAAAACTACTTTAGTCCGTCAGCCAGATAGAGAAAAATATTTGATATGTATTTTTTCCTTAAATTTATTTAAGTACCAAGGTATTTCAACTGAATGTATCACCGTAATTTTTGATCACGCATAATAATTATTGTTGTACTTATAATAAATGGTAAAAATATATTAAATAAAATTTTCTAGTAGTACCTATTTTGCCAGTATATTTCTCAACTCGCACGTGGTCTCTGAGTAAATCTACTAAATCGAGCTACTAACTAATTAATGCTCGTAAGGATATTAATCATTCTCGAACCTCTAGCTAGAAGAAGACGAAGCAACGAATGAACTTTGGGTTCATACTTCATATCTAAATAGATCTCACCTTGGTCAGTTTCATTGTCCATATTTGGAATAAATATGTTATACCGGTTTTAAGAATTTTTTTCGCATTTCAGTAAAAACTTTGTAGATTTGTCATTGATATATCAAAATAATTGGAACTGATACAAATTCAAACGTGCCGTTGCAAAAGCAAGATCAATGATTAGTTTATGGTACAATAAGTAAACTTAAATATTGAAATTATAATCTCCATTTATTAACCATTATTTTTCATATAATAGGAACTAACGTAAGCTTAAAAACTAACTTGCACAATATACTCGACATATTCCACCCAAGCAGCAAAATTATCCTATAGTGCAGATGTTATAGGCCTTCAGCACTTATAACATTCTCTTAACGGTCATAGTATTTACTGTCACGCTTATAATAGGAAGCATGGAGTCACTTGGTCCTTGTAGTATATCTGATCTTCTATATCAACTTATAACCACTTATAGATCGAAATTAAAGATGTATTATACGCTTAGGTGCCTTATAAAAGGATGTTGTGGGTGTAAATGTACTCGAGAATAGATTAACTAGTAAGCTATTCTTATAACTGCTAAAATAACTCATTATAGAACTATTACAAGTAAAGTACGCCAATAAGAGTGCTAAACATACTGGAAACCATTTGCATTTATTACTTGGTTTTGTATAAGTTTATAAATCCACTTTACACAACAATTATAAGTAAAATGGATAAGTTTTATATTGTTATAATCACAACACTATTAAAGGTTTTGATACAAGAATACATTGGTTTAATACGATCCTGCAAAAGTTGCTATAGTCTCAACAAAACTATATTAAATCTGATAATTTTTTTTCCTTGTCGAAATGCTATTAACTTCTATTATCAAATGGATCTGTATAAATAGAAACGGTTAAAAAGAAGTGTTTCTTACAAATGAAAAGTTCCGAAAACCTATGAGCAAATAATTCAGGTGTCCGGTTTGAACTTTGTGTCTGGCGAAGAAAGTATCGTAGAAACAGGAAATAGTTCCGTACAAAACAATTCTTGTGATAGTTTGAGACAGAACGTTTATATTACAAACTCGGCACAAAATGACGCTTAATCGCTAAAAATCGATTTCAATTCAGACCATGAATTATCAAGTGAGGAATCTGTATCAGAAGATGAAAGTGATATTGAAGGCTATTCTAATTTTGAACCTTATGGTCATCTTAGAAAATGGGATGTAGTGCATTGCTCTTGGGTGCATTATATTGAAATACGTGGTAATATTATTGAACAAGCACAAGCTGCATTCGATCAACCAATAAAATCATTGTTTCTTAATATATCAATGCAATTTTAATTAAACCAACTACAATAAAAAGGAAAACGTCTTTAAAATTTCAAACATAAAATGTAAGCTTGTGAGTGTTGTGTACAGTTCAAATATATCAAATATACCGCTGTTGCACACATTGTGAGTTACCAGTATTATATAAATATTTGAAGAACATTATTTTATTTTTAATAATTCACTGATTGGTTAATTCCGTTAGTAGTTATAATTTCTTCTAAAATACTTAACAAACTCATTAACGGGTCAGAAGTTAAAAAAAATAAACAAAATATTGATTCCTGCTTATGAATTTTTATTCAAGGTAAATTAAAAATTTTCCCCTTTACATTTGATTTCCTACCTTACTTTTACACAATAATTTATTCCCAAGGCCACCTTGAGGTTTTCAAAGCTCGAAAATCGCTTTAAGTCAAAAAGTACTTCCTACCTAAACAAAAAATTTATAAAATATGAAAAATATTCCGGTTATATTAATATTTGTTGAACCCTGATTCCAAAAAATATGGTCAAGCAACGGTTCTAATGTCTGCCCTTTTAAGACAAAGTACGCCTAAAATGGTTTGTTAATGTATTTGGAAAAACCATCTGACAAGATGGCGACTTTTCGTTGTATGATATTACTGAAACCGATATTATTTCGAAATCTAACTTATTAAAAACGCTACTACTGAGAGGCGAGTAAAAAATTTAATAGAAAACCTATTATGCTTCACTGAAAATATACATTCGCCAGCCATTACTTATTGTTAAGTAACATTTTACTTATAATTAATATTTAAGATATTATTTATAGTTACAAATGGATGAAAATTTACTATTATCAATATAAATATGTGCAACAAAATTTGCCAATTCAGAACATTTTGAATGAGCCTATAAGAGATTTTTACTGTCGTATTTAGTTCCATTAAGTGCTGATAGTTAGCTTCGCAGGAGCAAATAGTTCTACGTAGACTAACTATAGGGTCGTTATTGAACAAAGTGGTGTTCACCAAGTCTGTTATAGATATTGAATTAGAGCAAATACGCCTGTAAATTGGGCCCTTTTCCGTGGTTATAATTGCTTACTATTCCATTATAGTCCTGATAAAATTGTGGTTCCAGGACGATTACTAGACCACATTTTGCTGCTTGGGCATAGAATTCCAAAACCATTAGGATTCTATTGTGGTTCTATCTTCGGAATGACTATGGATGCTTCCAAGGGATCATTGGTGCCCTGGCATGTGCTAGTTGAAGGTTCGAAGCCAGACGTTCTGTGGTTACTGTATTTAATTTTTTGTAGAACCTTCATTATTTCAAATTTAAATTCGAATATTTGTCTTTCAGACATCGTTTCCATATCTGGTAACAAGGATAAAAGAAAATTAAGGTGTGGGTTCATGTTGTTTTCCTCGATATTTTTCATAGAATTTAAAAAATGGTTATGATACAACGATAATCCCTTTCTCTTTTTGATTTTTTTGGTTTGAATCGGTTTTGAAACAGATGACTGCTCCGATGAGCTATCCAAGTTTAAACTGTCGATAATATTCTCGTTTTTCACTTCTTCATTAAAAGAGCTGTTACTGTCCGACGAGTGTGATGACGGCGATTGTACATTTGTGATTGAGGTATTAGTAGACCGTGATAACGTGAGAAACTGTAACATGTCTAAGTATGGTGTCCGTCGCTTCTTTATACCTTTACCGTTTATCTTTTCTCTATTTCTTTCCCGAACAAAATAATCTCTGAGATGCTTCCATTTTTTTTGAAGTTGTAGGACTGAAAAGAATAGTAGTACATAATAATAAACTTAATGAATATACGAGTTGATTTCTAACGACTGTATTTTTGTGTGTTTGTTACGCGATTTTTATTAAACAGCGCAATGGACGGACTGAGAATTTATCGATCGAGTCCCATTTTATCAAAATCGAATCAGTAGTTTTCCTTTTAAAACAAAACAAAATAAATTACCAGATACCACCTGAATATTTACATGATGATTACCTCAAATAAAAAAAAAACGCGTTTGAATTCATTCATTCAAAATCCGAGAGGAGGATTTTCTACGTTCAACATATGTATGTATATTCTTTACGAAAGTATTTTTACCAATTTCTATCACACTATAGTCTGTTCATCTTCCTCTGAGACAAAATGTAAACAAACTGGAAAAAGGTTCTTTAATATGTCAAAATATAAATACATTTAGAATTAATGAAAAAAGAAAGTCACATTAAAAACACCTAAAATTGAAGCTGTTCCCAAACATTGAACATATTATAATACTACTAAATTGAGGAGTAGTGATAAGGTAAATACTTTACGTAGAAACGTGAATTTTTGTAATTAGTCGGGTTATACCGGCCATTTTACTCTCGATCAACTTGTTGACTCGTGCAAAATGCTTTCGTTAAACTCTTGTTATGTGTTTATTCCAGTTGCTAAGTTTGTTGTTTTCTGTTATTGTTAAGTTTTTTTGTTGTTATATTGACATTTTCGTCTGAAATTATGAGTGAACCTGGACCAAGCACAAGCAAAGCTTGTGCTTTTTCTTCACCAAAGAAAAGGCGTTCCAAGAACACCGCCTTGCGTTCAACCGAGAAAGTGGCTGTTATCAATGTGTTTAAGCATGTTGAGGAGACATGGCCCAAGGATTCGTATCCTTACAAAAGTGATATCGTCAACAAAACGGCAGAAATAATGGAAATATCACGCGCAAATATGTACAGGATTATTAAAGAATCACAGTGGTAAGACTTTCACCATAACACTGTGAATTAAATCCTATTGAACTGATATGGGCCCAAGACAAAGGATATGTCGCAAAAAATAATAAAACTTATAAGTTAAATGAAATAAAATCTTTACTAACCGATGCTCTAAAAAGGGTAACAGTAGAAGATTGGCTAAAGTGCATTGACCATGTCATAAAAGAAGAACAAAAAAATTTAAAAATTGATGGTGTCATAGATGATTTGGTTAACCGTTTTGTGATAGAAGTTGGTGCGACAGTTCCTAAGAGGAAGATTCTGAATAAAATTATTTACTCTATATTTGCTAGTTTTATTTGAAAAAGAAATAGACTTATTGTATTGCATACCTACCATACAATAATTTGTCCCATTAACAAATTTTATTTAAAATTTGAGAATCATTGGTTTGTTTGTTTACATTTTGTCTCAGAGGAAGTTGAATAGACTATAGCTGTTTACCCGCGACTTCGCCTGCGTAAATTATAGCCTATGTCCCC